TTTTTTTTGTTCACAGTTGTTGGACTTTAGTGCAATCCTTATGCCCGGTAATGAGTTGAACCCTGGAGATCACTTGGGAGGAAGTGAGCCTCAAAATCACAAGCTGGAGCTACGCAAGGTAAGCATTGGACATGAACCCACAAGACTAGGTCGAGTACATGAAGTCAAGTTGTTTTTCCAAAACAATTGGGTTATCAGACCTTTCTGCTTCTTCCCACGTCAAGTGTAGTGCCAAGTTTGCAATTCACAGTTTGTTGTTAGAGTTGAAATACCGAAGGTATTGCAGGCATATACCTCCTTTTGTCTCAGGTCAAGAGCTGTCTTGTGGGATTTCAATCTGCTTTGACCTTGCCTGGGTATTTGACTTGATAAAAACAAAATTTGAGAGTGGTAGGATTGTAATTGATTGCTGTTACTTGATTTTGTTGAAGTGAAACACTTTGAGGTTTAATGGGCCATTCTTCAATTCACTTTACAGGACAACCAGCTCATTGAGGCTGCTAAAGACATTCTAAACGGCGCTTCAAAACATTTGCGTCTTGATGTTCCTGTAATGAACATGGACCGAGCTTTTGGAACCACTCTCAGTTACCACATTGCAAAGTGAGTAATCAGTACAAAAAATCACTCCCCTCACCTGAAGAGTGCTTGTCAACCATTATAACCAAGGTGTTATCACAAGGAATATTTACATTATCATAGTGATGAATGAGCAACAAAGATGTCTAATGCCCATTTCTAAACTTTCATCCTAGTCACTCTGATGTAAGTGTGGTTGCTTGCAGACTTTGTCTCGACCAAGGCTGCACTGAAAGTCACAAAGCTTCATTTTGTCTCTTTAATTGGCACTTAGCTCCCTTTGTTATCGTCGAACGATTCTCGTGTCATTTTGTTTTTGCACATGTGTCTTCCAATACCTACTAACTCCAATAATAACCCTCTAGTCTTCATTGCATGACAAACACCCACAATCCCCAATTTGGACCGAGGAAGGCGAGCACTGAAAATGTCAGCTTTCTAAATTGGCACCAGCATTTTTATCAACATTCATTAACTTTTAATTGATAGTCAGCTTGGTTGTTGTTAGACTGCCCACACAAATACTAATTAGCTCTAATGAGTTGGTTTGGCTTTTAAAATGTACCTGCGCAAGGTAGTTTCACTTAGCGAGCTTGAAGCCTCTTCTATGTTGCTCATTAGCTTATAACAATATGCCTGCTTTCGTGGTTTTGTGGAAGAACTGTATTAAAAAGTTACTATTGTTGCTAGGAAATTTGGCGAGAGAGGTCTCCCTGATGGCACAATACACATCAAAACCCGAGGCTCTGCAGGTAAGTAAGTAATGTATGACTACTTAGTGAGATCTTTGTGGTGCAGCCATTGCTTTCAGATTATTTGATTGAGAACCATATACTTAAAATATTCAAGAAGGCCTATCACATCAAAGCTAACTATTCCATCGTCCAGTTTTCTTTGGCGTATTAGTGTCCATTTTAGAGATGTTGGTTTGTTTGTACCAAACGAGAAGTTATGATTTCAATGTGGTCTGTTTGAATTTTTTTTAGGTCAAAGTTTTGGTGCTTTCCTTTCTCCTGGTTTAACACTGGAACATGAAGGTGATTCAAATGACTATGTGGGCAAGGTAATTATGTACTTAAAATATTTACTTTTAATGTTCTTAAAAAATGCTCTCAATGACGTTGTTCATGTTATTCGCGTACTTGAGGTACTTGCTCTTGAGGTTTTTTTCTTCAGGCTCTGTCTGATGCTCCAAATGAATGTGCGACTTGTCAAACTGACATTAATTCGCTCTCTAGGGTTTAGCCGGAGGCAAGATAATAGTATATCCAAGCAGTAAACGTCCTGAGAACTTCAAAGCCGAAGAAAACATTATTGTGGGAAACGTTTGCTTCTACGGTGCCACTGCCGGAAAGGTACAGTATAATTTTAACTTTTGGTTAAATAAAATCGTCGGAAAGTAAACTTGAACCTATTTTTTTAATCAAGTGAGTTATTTTGATATAGTTATATTTTTTCCTTTTTGTGCTCAGGCCTTTATAAGTGGTGTTGCTGCCGAGCGATTTTGTGTCCGGAATTCTGGAGTGACAGCAGTTGTGGAGGTGATTTGAGTTCAGTTTTTAAGTTAATTTCCTTGTTTAATTTCATTTCTATGGTTTGTTGACCTAGTTCTGTTTATCTTGTCCATAATTAATTTTACCTCTAGCTTTTCTTAACCCTCAAACTCCCAGATCAAATTTGTAATTCTCCTAAATGTCAACCATACAATTCCTATAATGTTAGTTCAGAGAATTTAATATTGGATCAACTTATTATCCCCAAATTGATATTTTTCTTTATTCTCATCACTTATGTGGTGGACATTGTATTGATGTTGTAAGGAGAAATTCTGTCTTGGTCACTCATGGGAGTTAAAGGGTTAAAGTTCATTTATCGCTTCACATGAAACTAAACCTTGACATGCTTTAAAAGCAGAAAGTTCAGAATATTACCGTTGCGAAGGTTATCTTATCTCCTACCTTTGCTTTTCTTCAAAGGGTGTTGGTGATCATGGCTGTGAGTACATGACTGGAGGTGTTGCAGTTGTTCTTGGTGACACTGGTCGAAACTTTGCTGCTGGAATGTCAGGAGGAATTGCTTTTGTACTTGACAGGTAAAATGACTTTTAAAACATTTATCTTTCGTGGCAGGCACTTAGCAAGAAGGCAAGGAACGCTCATGAGAAAACAGACACGCGCGCGTGTGGTTTATCGCTTGTGCAAAGTGTTCTACATCTCTCTTAAACTTGAGCGCCCGCCACGCAGTCTCTCCGGGTTATATTTAAAATAACGTCTTTGACCTCGTTATTTATTATTAGCCACAATAAATTTATTCTAACCTCTTGAATTTATAGAAAGAAGGTCTTCTCCACATTGTGTAACCAGGAGATAGTTGACCTGGAGCCTGTTGTAGGAGCAGATGCCGAACTGGTCAGGGGACTGGTGCGTGAGCATCATCAGCTGACTGGTTCGTCGGTGGCCGAACGTCTTCTGGAAGACTGGGAAAGCTCGTTGAAGATGTTTGTGAAGGTATAGTCCTAGAGAGTAAAAGCAGTGAAGTCTCATTTAGTTTGCGAGTTAATTTTTGATAGAGATTATTAGTCAAAACATGAATTAGGAATATGAATCATGGTCATCTGTTTCATGAAGTACTGCAGTTTTCATCGCTGAAGGCTAATGTTTTGTTTTTTGCATTTTTTTTTTCGACGGGTATAGGTGATGCCTCGTGACTTCAAAAGAGCTCTGGAACAATTAAAAGAGGAGGAAGCTGAGGTATCCTTAAATTCTTCGTTATTGCTCGAAAACTCTCTCCTCCGTAGATGCCTTGTGCAATTTCCTTATAAGGTGACTTTGTGGAGGAGAGAATCTTGAAAACCTTATATTTCTATCTCCATGTAACTCAAAAATCAGATCTTTTGGAATGCAACGGTATTAAAGTTCCTTCCTTCAGATAACATGCAGTGACCTTTTACAAAGAAGAGAGTCAAAACTGAAGACTCAGACCGGACCCACACTCAGGGTCTTAAAATAACTGAGGAGAATGTGTTGCCTTTGCTATGACATCTGCTAGCGGTTAGACATTCTAGTCTTCTCGGATAAGGACGAAATGTCGTAGGCCCCGTCTCCTGCATCTTCTCGGTACTAGTTAGTAGGGGACGTTAAAGAACCCACACACTTATCGCAAAGATAAGGGAACGTAGTTTCCGGTGTTGTGGTCTGCCCTAGATTCTGAAATTGATGTGATGCGTTGATACGCTTTATCAATTAATAAAGTAGAAGTAGAAGCGTGTTTATTCGTGGAATTCTTATAACTTCACAGTTTAAACCAGTGAAAAAGGTACATCTATAAGCAATTTGTGCCAAAGCAAAATAAAATTACGCAGTACATTCTAATTTAAGTATGCAAAAACAATAGAAATATTATTCAACATTGCATGCGCAGTTACCTTTTACTAGGCGCAAACTTTCATTCGAAATAGCCTCGATATTGTTTTGTTTTCAAAGAAGTTGAGAGGACAGAGGCGAATTGACAAGTAGGCGAAGTAACCATTACTTGCAGCAGAGTTCATCAAACCAATAGAGACATGTCGGTCTTAAATCCATTTTTTGTCAGTTTTAATGATGATACGGAGAGTCTGTGGGAGAACTGCAAGAATAGCGAGATTATTGTGAAATTTAACCGTGCCATTAAATCTCCTCAGTAACAGAAAGATGATCCTTGTAATTTTTTCTCTGGTAAATTACGCGACTTCTCCCTCTTTCGTATTCCCTTCCTCCCTTTGTGCGACCCTTTGGGCAGAGGAACGTCCAAATTGTGGCAGGTAATTTTGAAACTGCGTTTTCTTTTGACAGAAACTCAAGAACGAAAATCGCATGGAAGAGAACGGCGAGAATGCAAATGGAGAGAAGACAAACGGAGAAAAAACAAATGGAGAGAAGACAAACGGAGAAAAAACGAACGGAGAGAAAACAAATGGAGAAAAAATGAATGAAGATATGTCAAATGGTGTTAAGCAAGAAGATTCACCTCCCCCAGTGAAGAAATCAGCAGAGCAGAATTTAGTTGATATAGAAGAGGCCATCTCTGATACAACCAACGATCAGAAGATTATCGACAGAGTGCTGGACAAAACCAGGTAAACTAGTATAACCCCAGTTAATTTGTGATGGGTTGTGGAAGCTCGCGCCTCTGAGACTGAAACCAACATCGCGTTCTGGTCACGCACGTTTTTTCAAGCTTTAGAAAGTTTGCTTGTTTTTACATCGCAGGCTCATCTGCTCCTAGTGATATTTTCCTTTATTCTAATTGGCCGTTGTAATTAGTTAAGTTTTGGTTTTACCATACTCGATTTAACCCTTTACACCCTAAAATCATTATGCATATTCTCCGTACTGCTCTTTATACATTTCCAAGGGAGCTGACGAGGAAAATTTGTTTTCCAAGGTTCTTTCATTGGTGATCATTTCCTTTATTCCTTTATTCCTTTATTCCTTTATTCCTTTATTCCTTTATTCCTTTATTCCTTTATTCCTTTATTCCTTTATTCCTTTATTCCTTTATTCCTTTATTCCTTTATTCCTTTATTCCTTTATTCCTTTATTCCTTTATTCCTTTATTCTCATGACCTTAACATGTGATTCAGGGGTGATATTGTAGGGAGATATTTGATGCTAGTCACTCTTAGGACCAAAGGGTTTAAAAAAGAAAAACCGCTCTACTAGTGTAATCTGTACGTAGTTTTGAAAGTTCTTCATAGAGTAAGTTACAGATAGTTTCGGGTCACAATCTCTTTAATCTTGAACAGTCCCAAACTGTAACTTATTCACATATGCATTTGCTGTAAAAGAAGATTTTAGGTTCACCTGGTATTTGTCGCAAACGATAACATTTTGTCGTTTCTTTTTGTTGACAGAGGGTTCGTGAAGTACTCCAGAAGCAAAGTGAAGTACCGCTCCCCCAGACAGCGAATGAAGGATTGGAACGAGATTTACTACAACAAAGGGAAATCGGAACTAAAAGTACAAGCTGCCAGGTAAGGGCGTCAACCAAAATGTTTCAGCCTCGAATTGCTAAGCCAAAAGACCCTTTTAGATAGAAAACTCTAACAGTATTATCACTTTACAACGAATTTTTTCATCATGGCTTGAAGATTTACATGCGTCTTATAGATGTGACCAATTAACTCTTGGATTCATCTTATCCCTTTTATTAATAGGTGTATGGAGTGTGGCGTGCCTTTCTGTCAGTCTCACACTGGGTGTCCTCTCGGAAACATCATCCCAAGATGGAACGACTTGGTTTTCCAGGTAAGGTTCATCATTGATGACGTTGTCCTACTGCACCAGGCAGGGTGGAGCTGTAATATGATCCTAAGTACTTTGATTTTTCACAGATTTTACTTATGTTGTAACATTAACTTGGTGAATTTTAAAATTGTTTGAAAACAAATTATTATTGTAACTGTTATTTGGTTTTTCAGGACAAATGGAAGGAGGCCTTAGACCGACTTTTGCTCACCAACAACTTTCCAGAATTTACTGGAAGGGTCTGCCCCGCGCCCTGCGAGGTGAGTATCGTAGAAACCGGTGTAAAGAGAACGCTTTTGGCTTGCGATTTGCTGATTGGGTTTTTTTCCATTTTTCATTGAACAGTACTAATATTATGTACAATACTCACAGTACAACTACAATACTTACTTTGCGTACTACAGTACTACTTATGCTGCTTACAATTACCTACAATACTAACATTCCTTAGAAAACTCACATAACTTACAGTACTTGTTCTAACAATTACTTACACTACTTACAATTACATACAATACTGACATTGCTTTCAAACTCACGTTACAGTTTACAGAAATTTGCTCAAAACTGCAGTGTCAATGCTTGCACTGCTAACAATACTAACTCTATTAATAACATGAAATATTGGCATTATGATATGTGTATCGATTTACTGATTGTTTGCGTGGATCTTTAAAGGCAATCTGTGATTTTTAAGATAACTTTTTCTCCCGTTAATTGTTCCAGGGCGCTTGTGTACTGGGAATCAATGCAGAGCCAGTGACAATCAAGAAAATCGAGTGCACCATCATTGACTATGGATTTGAACAAGGATGGATTACACCACAGGTAAATCAGCATTTAAGACAAAGTAGTCTCTTCTTTTAAGAGCTGTACTCGACTTTTTTTGGCCATTTTCTGTTCTAAGCAAAAACACCTTTAACTTGAAGGAGACTGCAAAATGATGCTACTTCGGTAAGATATGGAGACACAAACTCTTAAGGAATAAGCATTGCAAAAGATGGAGAACAGTTAAATAAATTGCAAATGTAAAATTGGGAGGTGTATTTCAGGGAAAACGCAAGTCGTGACACTGATATGCTTTCGTTTTAATCCCAAATCTCTCCACTGACAGATTCAAACATTCGAAGCTTCTTTCATTAGATCCCCTAAGCAAATGACTCTCCCTGTGATTTGGTTGTAAATTTTTGGCATGTTCCTTATTCTTTCCTGCAGATTCCAGTTCGTCGAACTGGGAAGAAGGTCGCTATTGTAGGAAGTGGACCCTCAGGATTAGCAGCCGCGGCACAACTAAACAAGGTGAGAGAAAACTGACCGAGGGATTGAGTCAAAACTGAAGCTCTTTGAGTTGTCACTAGGCACTCTTGTTGAGGGATTTTACTAATTCTTCTTTAGTAATTTATTAAGGAGTTTATATTGCCGTTCATCACCACGTTGTTTTAAATCTTCTTTTAAGGCTGGGCACTCGGTAACAGTTTACGAGAGAAACGACAGATGTGGAGGTCTGTTGATGTACGGTGTACCACCCATGAAGCTAAGTAAAAAGGTCAGCAAAATGATTCTCTTCAAAGCCTTTTTTGAGGATAGAAACTGAGCCAGCGTGTCCATTTGTACATCTGCTGAAACTTATTTACAGTGCCATGAAACAGTTTTCTCTAAGGGAATCAATGCTTTTTTTACTCATTTTTTTTTTAACAACACGAACAATGTTTCTTTTTTATCTTTTTTTTTTCCGCTAAAAGCCGAACAAGTGTACTTGGCCCGTTCGCCTTTTTGAGGACTAGTTCACGTCAACCAATCCGGCTCAACATACGTCAGCTTTTACTATGGTTTTGTAAGGAACTGTGTGCACGGGGCCTTAGGGGTCATGTGATAATACTTGAGTTGTGGAGGACGCGTCCGAATGATGAGTACTCAGATTGAATATTCTGGGTGCAAGACGTGGTTTGTGTTATAAGGGGGAGTGCGTCTCCTCACCAAAGGAATAAATGGCTCCTGGTGAACATTGTACGGGAAACTTAACGACACTTTCGAGCGGGGTTAATCTGATAGGAGCTGGTATCCCCCTCAGGGGGAGAGACAGTATTCTAATCGTTGTGTCGTATAGAGAGAATTGGGATGATTTTCCCACTTACTAGCCACGGCTTTTGAAAAACAAAACTTTTAGAGCACCTCACGAATACATCTTTTAGTTTGATGTGCACGTTTCCCTTGCACTTGCTTTGTTAAGTTTTCAAGATGTACTACGACCAGCGAATTGCCATCGTTGTAACTGATATCAGAGGTTTTTCTTGAAATAATTGAATAGCGAGTGACAAGAATTGTAAGTTTATGAAGCTATTTAGCTTGATTAGAATAAGATTCTTTGTCTCAATAGATTGTGCAACGTCGCCTGGACCTGATGGCAGCTGAGGGAATCAAGTTTGTTAATAACGTGGAGATTGGAAAGAATATGGATGCGCAACAACTGTTACAAGAAAACGACGCTGTTCTGCTGGCTGTGGGCTCTACATGTCCACGTGACATTCCACTCCCAGGTAGGCTGTGTAGCGATTCGAAGCTTACGCATGCGCTTTACTCTAATGCTTCGCAATTGTTCTTCCACTATAGGACGTGATTTGGAAGGAATCCATTTTGCCATGCAGTTTTTGGAAACATGCCAAAAGAGGCTCATGGGTAGGTAGTTTTCTTAAAATGTTTTCAGATGCCCTTCAATGCGTTGTATTTTCCTTTTTCCCCATTGTATGGAAATGGACTCAAACATTGAACCCGAAGAAAATATTAAAAAACCTCACGTAAAAATGAAAATAAGCCAGTGAGTTTGTGAGTCAGTGAGGTAGTGAGCTAGTCATTCACTGATTTAGCCAGTCAGGTAGTTAGTCATAATGAATAAAGGGATAAGTTTCTAAAGAGACTGTGGTGCTGCGTTGGGGGGAGGGGGGAGGGTGGAGCCGGGAACATAATAAGTTAATTTGGTTTTATCAAATGAGTTGGTGATGTAAATTGGCCACCGTAACGTTTCTAGTGTTAGCCCCTCATCAGAGCAAATTGAAGGTAGTCAGTTTGTCAGTCATTAGTGAGTCAGTCGGCTAGTCAGTTTGCCAGTCAGGTAGTAGGTCAATCAGCGAGTGAGAGAGTGAGTGGCTTATCAGTGTTGCTGTTGTTTCTGTAGGAAACTATAACCTGCCATCCCTTGATGCCACTGGACTTGATGTTGTTATTATTGGTGGAGGAGATACTGGGGTAGATTGCATTGGAACTTCCCTCAGACAGGTACAAGCATGCCTCCTGTAACACTATTTGTCTAAGATGACGATAGGAGAGGTCGGCTGGGATCAGTATATCTTCAGTTCTGATGATGTAAACTGCAAGTAACTCATCCTATGAAATATTTTCCTGTTTGATATACAGAATGCTAAGAGCATCACAAATTTCGAAGTGTTGGGCCAGCCTCCCAAGAGTAGAACTTCCACCAACCCATGGCCTCTCTGGCCACGAGTGTTCAGAGTGGAATATGGCCATGAAGAGGTAGGCTCTCTCCAATTGACGCAGTTGTTGGAACATGATTGCTATTATTAGGAATTCACTATGTCAACATATCTTGCACTTTTAAGGGGAAGGATAATTTTAGTTCAACCTCGGAGTTGCTATCGTGTATTATTTACAGAGGTGCCCGTTGAATCTTTTAGAGGGTTGAATGTGCGGTTTGGTGCTGCTTAGGTTCTTAGAGCCTAAAGTGACCGCTGCTAGAGTTGTCGAAGGATCTCTAACAGACCCTCAAAGTTATATAACATAAGAATGGCGGCCACAGTAATCTTTTTCGTCAGCAGCTACAAACTTTTTGTTGATTTGTTTTACAATAAGTGCAAAAGATATAATAAATTAATTGGGCTACGCCCACCCAACGTCCTCCCCGTGACTGGACTTCGAGCTAAGCTAGCCACCTCACAATCCGCCTTGTTTTCATGTGTTTTCAGCTTGATAATCGTTATTTCGGTTTCTTACTCATTATTTCTTTTAGGCCTCTCTCAAATATGGTGCAGATCCTCGTGTCTTCAGTATCATGAGCAAGGTAAATACAGATTATCGGTTTCTTTCTATCTCTCTATTAAGTGTATTGATTTTGATCATATTTTCTTCTTACATTCAAATTGCACATCTTATTGCTTCCAGGAATTCATGGGAGACGAGCAAGGCCACGTTAAGGGAATTAAAACAGTTCAGATCAAGTGGGTTCAGGTACGTTTTATTCTAAATCAAACACTCAAGTTAACAAGAAGGTGCTTGGAAACAGGCGCACAAGGTGCGTGCAAACATGCGCCACATCTCTTACTCACCGCGTCACAGACTCTTGTTTTTGAGACGCGAATGAAGCTATACGTTCTTTGCCTTCGCTGTAGCTTTTAACCCTTAAACTCCTGTGATCTGATTGTTAATTCTCCCTGTAGCTGCTACAGATTTCCTCTAAGATTAGTTATGAGCATTTAATGTTAGGTCACGATAACAAACTTCTACCTGTTAATTTTGAGAATAATCATCACCTGCTTGCTGAATGATATATGGATATTATAGGGAGAAGTTACATGTTAATCACCTCTGGGAGTTAAAGGGTTGACTACCTAAACGCTGCAGACAAAAAATCTGAAGCAGGTGCCAGGGTAAACTCTAACCTCTTTTAGTTCCTCACGCACCCACTGCGCCTTATTTTAGGGTAACATTGAAATAAAGTGCAAGGATAACCTAAGATTACTAACACAACACGTGTCACTTTTTCACTATCAACAGGATGTTACTGGAAGGTGGACAATGGAGGAAATACCTAACTCGGAAAAAGTGTTCCCAGCGGATAAAGTGATCATTGCAGCGGGATTTTTAGGTCCCGAAAAAACATTGGCGGAACAGTTTGGGATAAAGAAGGTTAGTTTAAAGTGTTTTTACAAGTTTGATTTTCTAATTTGTTTTTTTCTTCGTCAACTTTTCTCTGGATCTTTGTCTGCAGGATCCCAGAAGCAATTTTGCCACCGAAAAGAACAAGTTTCTGACCAGTGTTCCCAAAGTCTATGCTGCAGGAGGTGAGCTTTGTCTGTTGCTTGAATGGTAGTGGCAGGTGATTGTTGAAAAAGTTTAAAAAATAATGAACAAAATGTTCCATTTTGCCCTGTGTCTGTCCTGTAAGAGAACACAGAGGAGGTCAAAATGTGGTGAGAACAAAAACGTGACACATGAGGCGCATTACTGATGTTATTACTTTTTAGATGATTTTGACGTCGTCTTCTGTTACGCTCTAGGGCTGACGTATCGAATATTTATGAATTAACCCTTTTCATTCGGACATCAGTATGCATACTCTCCACACTGTTCTCTATAAATTTCTCAAGGTGCTGACACGGAGAAAGTGTAACAATCAAGAGCTTCTTTAGTTGGTGATAATTTCCTTTATTCTCATGACCTTAAGGTTTGATTTAGGTGTGAAATTTACAATTTGTAAAAATTGTATGCAAGCCACTCTTCGAGTCAAAGGGTTAACTTTTGTTTTCCTTTCTTCAGATTGTCACCGTGGTCAGTCACTGATTGTGACAGCCATATCTGAAGGACGACAAGCGGCTCGTCAAATTGACCTTGATTTGATGGGTGAAACCTCATTGGCGGGTCCGGGGGGACAGATACATGTTATTCAACCCCGCCCCTCTGGAATTAAAGCGTCTGCTTAAAAAAAGTTTGACAAAAATCGCCCAGCAATTCCTTGCATGTTGCTGTCACCTAAGCAAGGTTGCAACGGGCTGTTTTTACCCTCTAAACAGATTGTCCTTTTAACGTAATTTAGTTTAAAATTTATCACGAAAATAATTTATCTCTTTCGAATTCGAGCAGGAGGTTTTCAATTTAGATTTTAACGTGTTAGAGAAAAAGTGTTCGTAGATTGAAGAATAAAAAAGTGAGAAAACGTAAAAAAAGTTCTTTACTTAATGTCGAAGCCAAGAGGACATTTATGTCCTTGGTACTGGGATATTTATTTATGTTATCTACGCGCCAATATTATCAATGTTATTAATTTATTTTCTCAATGAATGTCACGTAATATTAATATATAAATGTGTTTGAGGCTTAAGACGAATAAGTTATTAATCATAAAAGTTTTATGTGTTAGGTCTCGGTTTAAATTAACTTTTTATCTTAATAAATGAACGGTATGTGCTTCCATTTGTGTAATAGTACAAATTTTAGTACCTCTCAGATTATGAAAGTGTTGGTAGTTAGAGGAACACAGAATGTTCCGTGGTTTTTTAAAAGTATTCTTAGAAGTGCTCCGGTGAAGTAAACTGACTGACGTACCTTAATTTAATTGTGCCATTATGTCGAGGAGCTTCTTAAAAGGGATTTGGAATAAATTTAGGCAGAAATGGTGCTACATTGTTGGTGTTTCACTGCTTTCAGGGAATGCTCAGTTACAGATACAGTAAAATTGTGAATCTGGCACAGTAACAGTCGATCGCGGAAAGACAATTCACTCGCGAAGGAACGTTTTCGGTTGGTCACGCTTGGGACCAAAAAGTTACCTTAGAGTAGTAGAGACTTGACCATCGGATCAGCTTTCCCTTTCTGATCACCCTCTACAAACGCAGTATCAAAACGCGAACTTGAAATTTTTCCTTAAGCTGTCGGAAGTTGTGTTTTTCGTAGTTTCCATCGTTTTTAGACCTGATTGTGTCTGTTTTGGTTCTTAACTGACGGAAAACTTATTCTGTTGGGGGGGAAACGGGGACGGTAATGATAGGGCAGAGAGAGGAACCTCTCTCCACCCTGGCTAAAATGAGAAGCAAATCAGCTGATAGGATCTTTCTCATCTTTCCGCTAGCCAAGGCAGCAGTTATTTCAAAAGGACTCTGGATAACGTTTAAGACAACAGCAACAATTGAATTTCTTAATATACATTTTCCGCTCTATAGTACTCTAATTAAAATTGCAGTTGCACTAGCTGCGGGTGAAATATTTTTGTAGTGTTGGTCTGAGGATTATACCAAAAATTACCAAATAAGAGTTCACTTATGTTTACAGCAGGTTACGCAAATAGGTTGTCTAGGCGTAGGTGACGTGCTTATGCAACTAACTGGGAGCGAAACAAATATTCAATTGACCAGTAGGTAGTATTGCCTTAACTAGTGCATTCTTATGGTAATGCCCTCTGACGAGCAAGGGTACCATTGCTGAAGCAAGTAGCGCGTGCGATTCGGGTGCCATTTCGGCAAAAGGAGAAAGAACAGCTGCCTAAACAACCGTCACAATCCGTTCCAATTTCTTTATTACCATATTGCCAACAAAAAAGGCAGCATATCTGTTCTAATGACAATGCTTTTGTCGGACTATTTTTGCCAGTTCCTCAGCTTAATTAAAAAAGAGTTCAATGGCTCAGGTGGTGTCTTGTCAAAGAAAATCAATAGCGAAATAACCAAATAATCATTGCACTGCAATGTCTCCTCTCTTTGTTATCCTTTTTCTTTTTTTCAAAAGCGAGCAAGAAGATTAAATAAGGACCTTAAGGGATTCTAAAACTACAAGAAAAATTGCCACGCACAGGAAAACGTTTGTGATACTTGTAGTTTGAGGTAGCTATCTGTTATTTGTATTTTATGTTCCGCATTGTGAAAGTTGAATTTATTTTGACTCTTCCGTTTTCGCTGGGATTTCTTCCGTGGATTTCTTTAGTTCCAGAGAAGGCCAGTTTCCAATATCTTCTTTTCGTAGTTTTATCTCCACCTTTGTCTGGGATAACATCACTGAACTTTTTTCTGGAATAATCACCTTTAAAAAGAAACCATAGTGATAAGATTTAACTCCTTCCAACTAGAAATGTTTTGATCAATGTCAGTAAGTAAGCAACTACGCACCCACCCCTCCCACAAACCAAAATTAACTCTCACTTGTTGTCAGTTGACTTGTTGGATCAGGGAGGGCTGGGTGTGCAGTTGCTTAAATACTAACATTGATGTAAATGTTTCCTACTTGTCTGCTTATCTGAAAGTCTGTCTGGCAAGTATGTTAGGGTAACCAGGGATTTCATTGGGTTTTGCTAAACTGCACTCATACTGTTGTTGGTCAGGAAACTGTACAGCACCAACCTAAACAACGAGATTTGAATTGATACTGGTGAGCTGAAATGGCAACAACACTGACTGCCAAGAAATAAACATTCCAACATAAACATCCAACACACACTTAAATTCAAGAGAGCATATTGTTATAATATATTGTTTTCTCCCATATGGCCCTAACATATTAACTTTAAATCTAAAACAACCTTGAAAAATACAAATCCCAAAAGGATCTAACAGATATGAATACCAATATAATAATTCATTTTAAAAACTGCTACAACACTGATTTGATTTTTGTATATTGGATTTCCAAGCCAACTTTTCCAAAGTAATTTTAAATTACAACTTACCCCATGAAGATTGAGCTGAAGTTCAAATATATTTGAACCCCCAAACACCACATGGGCTTTAACCTGAAGTAAAAATAAATAATTGTGCTTTTCAGTTACTGCATTTTTGCAATTGAGCACCTGAGCACTTATTTAAAATTTCAGCTAAAAAAAAGGGGGGCCCTTGTTGGAGGTAGGGGGCTTATTATTCTCCTATACTGATTCTGCTTAAGGTAAGGCTTAAAGTTGTAAATAGGAAAGGGTTTCTTTGTATCCTTACAATTTAAGAAAGTGAGGGAGGAGGGTGGTGCTTGTTTTACATTGTCAAAGGGAGTGGGCTCTCATCTGTAAGGAAGGTTCTTATTCACAGCATGGGCGCTTATTCACAAGGTATAATGGTAGTGTGAGTAGAACAGTTTCTTGTCAGCAAAGTGTTGTAGACACAAGGAATTTGGTTGCCTGTCATTTAACATTATCTGGGGGCTGACAGTTGGAAGAGGGTAGCTGCTCTTCACAGTTACTGGGAAGTCAGTGTGTAAGGTGCAGTTTGTCTTGTTAATTATCACTAGTCCATATTGTTATGTGGAGTGACCTATATATTTGGACATATTTTCAACTTACAACTGTTTTATTTGCTTCTACAAAAGTTTGTTGAGGATCACTTAGCTTGGCAAATACTGAAATGACAATAAAATTTCCCATCTTGTACCAATCATACCTGAGAAAAGAACACAAATCTATGGTTGGTGTAGGAATTCTTTCATAAATGATCCATTCCCAGGATTTAAACTATGTCTCCCAACTAATAACAAATTTCAGTTTCTGTAATTTACTTACCTCTCATCATCTGTCTGCCCATTAGTGTAATAACAAAAGGAGTAAAAGGGTTGTAAACATGACCAAAACAATCTTCTTTTAGCTCCACTGCAAATTTATGCATACAGTGCCCCTCTGCTCAGGGTTATGAATTTACAATCCCTTGTACCCAAAGGTTTTGTATTTGAAAACACACCCAGAGTAGTATTTGCACTAATTTCTATCAGAGTTTTGTACAAGTAGATGTTATAAAAAGTTTGAAAAGCGACTAAAGTGAATGCATTAGTTAAATAGTGCTGACAAAGGGGAGCAAAGAGATTTAAATTTGGTTGATCTTAAGGAAGCTTGAAAGTTACTAATAAATCTTACCGACATAATACTCTTTTCTCTTTTTCCTGCAAATAAAAATACATCAATAAGATAAAAATCTAAATGTATGTATGATGCTAAATATAAGTATTTCATAATACTTTGTCCATTACAGCTCATGAATGGACCTTGCACAGCAAAAATTACAACAAACACATCAATTTGGATGTCACCTACCTCTTCTGTTAGTTCCCATCTGTGAGACCCTGAGGTGCATCCTTCCTGTTTCAAAAACTCATCAAAGTCTGTTGTTCGTTTCCGACAACAAGTCCAAAATTTATACCTGAAAACAGTCGAAAGTGTATTGTACTCCTTGTCAACAAATGGGTTAAGGTAAAGTCAATCCTTATGAACCCTGGGGTTCATACTGCTGAAGTTTAACCCTTCACTTCCAAGATCTCATTATCATTCTCCTCTCTTTCCTCCGTACATTTCTTACCATTATATCTGTGAGAGTTTGATGTTAAATCAAACAATATTCCCTCATTGATATTTTTCTTTCTTCTTGTCACCTGTACTGTTGGATAATGTATTGACATTTTGAAAGTGAAATTACTCACTAGGCATTCAAGAGGGTGAAAGGGCAAGTTGAGTTCAGGTACGAAGAGACAGGAAATAAAACAAGTCCGTCTCCAGGACTCTCCCAAGAATTTTGTCATTATTCCCTGACAGTTTTCCAGAACTGGTTATTCTCCTGGGTGGAGAGAAGTACTGTGAATGTCTGATGCTTTACCCAAGAACATATGGAAGTGATCCAGTCTGGACTCAAATCTTTTGATCCAAAGCCCTGAGCAATAGTGGCCAAGCAGCCATTTCTCTCAACATGAGTTGTTGTCAAAATGTTTTGATTCCCTAACTATGTAGAGAATTGCCCTTCACCCTTTATACCCTAACATCAGTATGCACTTTCTCCATACAGTTCTCATTACATTCACAATGGTGCTGATGAGGAGAATTTGTTTAACAGTTGAAAGCTTCCTAAGTTGGCAGTCATTTCCTTTTTCTTCATAACTAATATTAGATCAGAGTAATATTCAGGACCTAAAGGGTTAATTGGAAAAAAGTGCTGTGTAATCATTTCCTGGGGTAGAAAAACACAGGAGAGTTAAGAGCAATTTAAAACTAATTTTGTCTATCAAAGTTGACAGTTCCTTACCCTTCGTGAAACACTGGTACTCCATAATGATGCCAACACTTATCATCATTTGTACTTTCATCGATATATGACTGAAAAATAGCACAACAAATAACAGGGTTAGAAATCTGTTTCAAAGGTTGACTTATCCCACCAGTAAATCTGAAAAACTTACTGTAGTACATCCACTGTTCTTGCAAGTTGTTCCAGGTTTAATTCCGCCATCAGTTTCACTACCTAAAATGAAACAATCCTTGTTTCCAAGGTCAGCCACAACTTTCAAACACCCTTTAATGGCATTTATACACTTACACAATATTCTCATGCTATACAACTTTTACACCATAAATTCATTTTCCCAGTGAGTCTCATTATCTGAAAAACATTTTTAAGTCACTCACATTCACAAACTCCAGGTTTATCCTTTTCTTGTTCTTTAAGTTTTACCAAGGCTTTCTTCAAAGAATCTGCTACTGTCATTTTTAGTTTTATTTTAGGGAGGTCATCACTGAAACAAGAACATTGACAGTATTATGTAAAACATGAACACTTTGGGTAAACTTTGTTGTAAAAAAAATAAAGAGAAAGACCTTTTTCATCCCCATTTCAACTCTTAAACTCCCAGTAGTGATCAACATGTAACTTCTTCCAATTATTTCTATACATTATCTGGCAAATTGGTAATGAGAATACTCAAGCTTATCAGGTAGAAGTTTTTATCTTTATCCAACAAAAATTCTAGTGACTAATTAACAAGGAACTCTATAGCAGCTTGAGGGCATGGTAAATGACGTTAAAAATCAAAGCTGCAGCATTGAGTTGGTACAAATATACCTTGGTCTTTCTGCAGGTTCAGTTGGTATTGGTTTTCGTTTGGGTGGTTCAACTTTAATCACCTGAAAATAAAGGGTACCATTATATGTTAATAAAGACACAATGGAATCATAAAAACCCAGCCCTGAAAAGCAGTCGTTGAAACTCACCTCATCAAGTCCAAGAGCCTTATCATCTTTATTTGGTTTTTCTGGTTCTGGAGGTTTCACATTACTATGACATGATTTAGTGCAACCCTAGCAGAAAGAAAATATGTTAACAAATCTGTTCCATGTTTACATAATTTGTTTGCCACATTTTGGGTTCTTATGCCAGTTTCCATTAATAAATGTCCATAACAAAACATAAACCATGGTTATCTTAACTTACCTTAATGTTTAAGAATTCTGTAAAATCTGTAACTCTTCTCTTGCAACAGGACCAGCCCTTCAAATCAAAGCAAATTCTTTTTGTCATCTTTTCTTTTTTTTCTTCAGTTCTTTCAGACTATGATCACCACATATCTCATACCTGTATCCAATACACTCTTCTTTTTTTTATTTGTTGTTTGCAAATGGCCCTATTGTCAAAGTAGATGTAACTAACAACATTTAATCCTTTTCACTTTCAGATCTCATTAATAATTCTCCTTAGTGTCTGTCTTAAAATTGGAGAATTTGGTTCTGGATCACCTATGAATCTCATAACTGATAATTCAATTTATTCTCTCTTGTTGTCTGTTTGATATTGTTAACAGAAATACTGCCTTGGTTACTCATGGGAGTAGACAGTTAATAAGCAAGCTTACTATGGTAGAACCTCCTGTAATGGACCACCTGAAATGTCAAGTCTGGCTGGTTGCTCACAGGAGGTGGTTGCTTACCAGAGGTCATGCCACAGGGGGTCTAAAATTTGGGTAATTTGCATGTGGTGACCAGATACTTGTAACAGAGCTAATCTAAACCTACAGTTATGCACATACATGTCTAGTGTTCACAAGATCAGAGTTTTTTTTCCAACAAGTGATTAAATATGGATCTGTATTTTATCAATTCTTCCGATGCTTTATTCATGTTGTTAAAAGCTACTTTGAAAAACACTTCCAGTAGCTCCACTTTTACAACATCTGTTGAAAAAAATTTTCAGTTTCTACTTGTGAGAGATAAAGCCAATTGTCTGTCAAGTGGTCGTCTATGGGAGGTTAAAAAAATTAAAAATTGTTAATAAACAACCCTAAGAGTGGTTGCTTACGAGAGGTGGTTGCTTACGAGAGGTGGTTGCTTATGAGAGATGGTGACAAAAAGAGGGTTGACATTAGTTAGGAATGCAGAACTGAATTACAAATAACCCTCTCAGGTATATAATGATTTATCCTGGAGAATCTTGCAATATAAACGTACTGTCTAACCTTCAAAGCATCATGAAATACTGGACAGCCTGGATGATGTAAACACACATCTGTAAAACAATAATATCACCTCTTTACAACAGACATTCAGGATAATATCAGAAAAGAAAAAAAATATCTCTATACAAGCTTAAACAAGTGTTATAGTTATAACCAAAACTAAAATAACCAGTGTCATAAAATAAAAAGAGTTAATGCGAGCTTGATTAAAAGGCCATTTGGGTTGTCACTTTTGCAGCTTGGGGAGATTTAGCATGTTGTTTGGTCAACTATTGCTATGTATAGTTTTCTTCGATTTCAAAAATGCCGTTAAACGTTTTACTTTTAACCAATGCTATTTGGGTACATCCTGGACAAACACGCATAGTGGTACGCATATTGCGTATGTAAAATACAATGTAACTGTCGGATAGCAAAAAGGCTGAAGATCGCTCCAAATATATACAAAATCACAATAGAAAATATATATCACTTTTAAAATTGATCGAAAAAGTAGATTAAGGAATAGTCGACATTATTGAACGAGTGGGAAAAAAGTTGTAAAGTTTTGAGTATCACACAAACGACAAGACACTTCCTACTTGGCTTGTCAACTGTCCAACGAACAATCATTACCTTCTCCATTTTCGTCGTCTTTGAATTGTTTTCCACAACCCTTATTGTAACATAGAAGCAGTTGATCTGTCGACATTATTTCAGTAATACCTTAAATGCTACAGGCAAAGATGGCAGATATTTCCCTCTGATCTTCGAAATAGGCCGGTGGAAGGAGCATTCAGAAATGAATCACATGTGCTAAACTGGTAACCGCTGACAGGCACACTTCCAAACAACGCGGATACACTCATAGGACCTCAAGAATATTCTTCAATCCTTTCCTTCAGGTAAACTCCTTCCCCAGCTTAAATAATTTCAAAAAATGATTTCATCAGCCATAAGGAACATGTTAAGGCAGATTACTTCTCATTTCTGAAATCTAGTGGGGTGTTGGGGAGGGGTGGGGGCAGGTGGGGAAGGTTCAGGGAAAGGGAGGAGTTGTACAGCCCCAAGGTAGACTATCCTGAAAAATTGCCTAAAGGATTCATCCCCCAAACCCCTCCCCACATCCCCACAGGTAATAAATTAAGAATTGATTTGACTGTGACAAATGATTAAATAAATTGTGGAAAGCCACTTTTACTAACGTTACAGCCAAAAAAGATTCCTGATAACATTTTTGTGTGAGAGGGAGTAATTGTTAAATGGGAAGTGAGTTGAGAGATGGGTAAAAAAACAGAGTTGTGTATCAAATTTGTGAAATTAATGCTTTATTTTTTAACACTCCAAATCACACTGTATCACATCATGCCAGGAGTTGTTTTTCTCCATCATATCACAATTTTCCCATCAGCACTTTTACCAATGTGGAACAGAATTCTCTAATTTAACACAATTTGCAACTTCCATGGCAGGCAATGAGAAGGCAAACAAGATTCATGCAAGATAGCACACATGCATGAGAAAAGTCTTTTCATTGTCAAAATCATTCCTCATGTGAATTAACCAAAATCATTAGTACACAGGTTACACCCTTTCACTCCTCAGATCTCCAGAGAAATCCTCTTCTCTATCTCCATACATTTTATAATATGTCAGTTCTGAGATTTTTGTTTTAATTAAAGAGTATGTCCTTGTTGATATTTTTCTTTATGCTAAACACCTCTCTGCTGAATAGTCTATTGATATTGTAAGGAGAAATTACCTCTTGGTCACTTCTGGGTGTGAAAAGGTTGATAAGGCACCTATTACAGATGATGCAATGTTGTACACTGGCAAGTTTACAAAGGAGATCATAAGCCAATGAAATACATTATGGAAAACTGAATTGGGAATGCATTTTTGAAATTCACATGAATGTTGTAGTTTATAGCAACACATTTTTAAACTTGTTCACTTTTGATTCTTTCATGTACTATCTGTTTCTCTTTTTAAAAAAAAAAAAAAAAAAGCTATTTTTATTTAAGTTATTTAATATCAAAATACATTGTATTTTTTTGGTGTGTGATTCCAAGTAACCTAATGCTTCTGTGTTTAATTCATTAAGCTATTAATTCAAAGCCCTCATTCACCAAAATAAATTAAACCTTCCAAATGAAGTATTTTGAAATTAAACCTTTTTCTTTATCAACCTTCTTTTTTTATTAAAGGGTGCAGTTTAATTATGTCACCATTTTCTCCCAAAAATTAATTCAAATTATTGGCATAATAATAGTAATTGTTGCATTTTAAACCCCACAAAAAGTAATCCTAACAAACATTACCGTCTTCAAAAAATAATTTTATAGCTTAAACACCAATACTCTCCAAGAAAATGAAAAACAAAGAAGAAACTTCTTACTGAACATCTGGTAGTAAGGAGCTATAAAAGGTATTGAATTTTAACCTATACCCCCAAAATGGTTTTTGTAAATCCAGTGATTCCTCATTAGTTTGAAGTGGTGTTGATTTTATGTCATTACTTATTTCCTTCAACATTTTCCTGATTTCTGTAACAACTATCTTCTGCTCTAGCCTCCCCTTACTGGCTTTATGCGTCACTTCATTAAAAGGAAAGGCAAGAATGCAATTACCAATTTTAGGCTGAAGTTTCACAATGACTGAAGTTGCTTTGTTTCTAGGAGTTCTCCCTGTAGGGTGCCTTGAGTACCTTGAGGAAATGTGATGCAAGGTTTTTTGACTTCTGTTGGACAAACTCTGGTTATCAACCAACTGAAGAGAGTTAAGTGATGATGCTTCTGAATAGGATCGACAAAAGCGCAAGTGAGGTGGCAGTTGGTTGCTCTTGTTTGCAAATTGAGATAAATGTAGAGATGTCTGACTTTCAGTTTGACCTCTCACTGTTGACAAAGAAGATATTTGTTCACCTTCTGTGCAACTTTTTTCAACTTCTTTTGTTGGATCTGTGGAAAGTGAAAGATTTTCTTCTGCAAATGTGGCACAATCGGGGTTACTTTGAAAACCAATGTCATCACATGATGCCACTGTGTTTTTGTTCCTTTCATCTTGATCAGGTCCATTGCAGTTGATTTTTCCAGCTTTGACAAAATCTTCTGAAGTACTGAGTCTTCTATTAAAACAAACACTGCTCTTGGAGGATGGCAGTTTGCCACTGTGATTGCAGTTTGCTGCTTTGTCATTTTTGCTGAAAACAGACAGAGTAACATCACTTTTCTGTCTTCGAAGATAGCTTGGCCTTTGATTTTGAAGACCCATGTGAGCATACTGCTTTTTTGCATCTGAAACTGGCTTCTTGACAAAGTCAGCATGTTGCTTAAATCTGCATTCTGCTTCCAGTGAAGACAGATCAAAGCCAATTTTGGATTTTGAGGACAGGTTTTTACCATTTCTTGCTGCGCCACTTTTTACACTGCTTAATTTCAACCCCTTTTGTTGGGTTGAATTACTTCCTCTTTCTGTTTCCCCTCTCTTGATGTCCACCTCAGTAAAGTTTAGGCTCTCCAAAATATCATTCAACAATGGTTTCTTAACTATCTCATCTTGACTGCAATCATTACCAAGTGCTGGTGAGAAATTCACTTCCAATAACCATGGCTTCAATTTTTCATCAATGAGAACGTCAAAGCCAAATAGCTCAAAACAGTTTGAACTATTACTAGGTATGTCTTGCATTTGTGAAAGCAGTGTGATGATTATAATGGATGTAATGCGGTGCCATAACAGGCGATCATCAATGTTATGTTTGTGAAAGAAATGACGCAGTTTACTCAGTGTCCACTTACAACCAGTTCCAATGCTTTCTTTTTCTGCGGAATATTGTGGTCCAGTTTTGTTAATACTGGTGTTCGTAAGATGCGAAAAGCGATTGTCAAGTGAGGACAAATCAAATCTTTCTGTGCTAAACCGCACAAGACCCTCATGATAGATGTAAAGAAGGAAAGGATGATATGATGTTACTATTGCATACAAACGCAAATCAAATTTGTAACCCGAGATAAGAAATGGTTTGATAATGTATTTTTGCACAACAACAGCACAGTCATAAGTGAGATCATGTAGATCTTGAAAAATAAAAATACCTCTCCCACATGACTGCTCAGTCGGCTTGCAAATCCAGTAATTGGATGTTTGGCTGCCATCTTGCTTAGAGAATTCTGCAACAAACTTTCTATACTCATTAGGCAGAATAAATGTTTGTGGGAAAAACTCAAACATGGAGCCTCCATAGGACGCTCTCATTCGCCGAAGATTTCTGGCTAAACCATCTTTTTTTGTGATATTTGTCGATTTTGGGAAGTGGTTCAGGCGTTGCCAGGGACGACAGTGTTCGAATTCGCCTGAAGTAAAGCCCTGAGTTTTCCACCACAAGTTCCACTCGCCATTCGATTCACTTCTACTTTCGTCGTATTCTTCCCATCCACGTTCCAAACAAACTTCTCTAAGAATATCCGGCGCTTTGTCACAAAGCCGGAATACAACGGACGCCATCAGTTAATAATTCCATAGAAATCTTCAAGGCCTTAAGCTCAAAGGATCAAAATCTGATGGTAAGTTTTCATAACTGTTCTTTTGACAGCAGAGAGCAATGATTTAAAGACAATATGGCAATCAGACATCAAGCCATTATTTCGAGATTTTTGCGTTGATCTATTAAATATTAAACTTCGGGAAGTCGTTTTCGAGTACCGGCAGGTGATAAGAACTTTGTGACGTAACTTTTTTCAAGATATCACCTAGTCAGCGGATCAGTATCTCCTTCATTTAACAACCAACAGATCATCTACTTTGCACGTGTGTTAAAATGGCTACCGGTGGGAAAGAGCTGAGTCAGATGTCATGCGAAGATTTTGGGGAATTCAAGGTAGCTTACCCTACTGTAATGTTTAAATACATCGGCTGTAATATTGTTTGTGTTAAGGTGCTAATATTTGAAAAACAGTGCATTTGCATTCAGTTGCATTGCTGGGCAACGTAGTCCAATATTTAAGAGGCCAGAGCTCGATCTGGTCAACTGCCTTACCTGAAATTTATAATTATGATAGGCATAGCATTTTACTGTCATTCTCTGTCAATTAACCGCAACTGATCAAAATTGAAGGGTAAAGACGAACGGTTGGAGAGTTCTACGAATCTGGACTACTGCTGGATACAGTTCATGAACTGAGATTTTTTTTCATGGGGAGGAGGGAGGGTGGAGGCAGAGGTTGTTGAGAGGGTGTGTGCTCATGGAATTGTGATATCCTCACAATATACCAGACTCTAAGGTTGTGCCATGTTTGTTTGGACCCTTTAACTTGAAGAGACCCAATCAAACTTACCCTATTGCAGATTTACCATTTTCAAGAAAACGTATCACTTTGTAGTCCTATACCACCAGAGATCTTTTCCCAAAGAGGCCCAAAGAGAAATTGTGGGAATCATTATCATAGAGAAATTCTCCATGTCGTGATAAGTTGCCCTGTGAAATGTAACCAAAATTTTTCATACTAATCTGCTACATCCAAACCCTAACCCAGACCCTATTTAGGAAGAGAAACAATACCACATTTTGGCACCAGATATGAAAAAAATTTACTGGAAAGGAACCAGAATGGATCAATCACTATGAGAAAAATGAGCTTATTTCTGTAGCCTTAGGTGACCAAGAGAATTGCTTCTCTCCATGGATGTAATACTAACCTTTTAGCATTTTGTACTCTTCAGTGGAGGGAGATGCTTTTAGAGGGGAGTGTCTTCCCCATAAAAACATTTTTAACCCTTAAACTGTTAACAGTGTCTAGCATCTAATTTCTCCTTACAATATTACCTCTGAATCACACTTAAAGGATACACAAATAAAGGAACTGATCACCAACTAAAGATGCTCTTGATTGTTAAACAAATTCTCCTTGTCAGCACCTTAGAAAATGTACATAAGTATGTAGAATATGCATACTGATGTTAGCATGTAAAGGGTTAAAATGACTCGGTCAGAGCTTGATGCAGGAACTTGTATCCAGAGTATGGTGTGTTGACTATGAGGCCCATGGATCTCTCATGAAGAAAAGCCAAAATAAAATAACTTTTTTGTTTACCTGGTCTTATTGCAGGAAGCATTGAAGGTTCTTAGACTTGTTGATGATACAATCATTTACAAATTAAACACAAGTATTCCAACAGATTCCTTTGTTGGAGAAATCAATGCTGAACAAAAATGTCAAGAACTTTATAATGAGGTAAATAAGAAACAATATCGAGGTGTATTGCTATAACCATTAACTTGTTTAAAAAAAATGGCTTAAGTGTTTGGATCAGTAAGTTTATTAAGATTATAAGGATATACCTGGGTTGACTCAGTTGTTGTAATAGCAAGGAGGTTATAAGCACTTTGTTAGTAAACACCAAAGATGAGAGACTTGTCTGCCTGCTACCCAGAATTCTAAAAGGAATATTTTAACATCCTGAGGGATTTTCTTTGTGCAGATGTGATGGAGAATATGCTTGTGTTACTTTGCACTTTTTCCTCTGCTACAATTCTGTATGAAAAACCTTCATACTGAAGGGTCCATGTTAATTAGATTGTCTACTTAATCTTTACCATCATTGTTATTAATTTGTCTTGAAAACAGTAGCTTCTCACTCATTAGTGTAATTGCTATTAAGGATATTGTAGAGCTTCTGCTTGTCCTTTGTGAAAAAAATTGTTTTGTTTAACATCCCATTCGAAGCATAACCATCATAGACTACTTGTAAATGGAAAGGTTATGAGATGCACTATATGACAAAAAATTGTTCTGTTTTAGCTTGATCTGGTTGTAACCTGACCAAGGTGCAACAATTTGAAATGGATTGTGAGGCCAAGTTTGTTTTTAGAAGTCCTCACCCATTTTCAGTCCCACAGCAAGTTCCTAAATAAGGCCAAGTGATGAGGCTTTCAGAAATGGATGAAATAGCACTGAGAACATTGTGCATTATTCTTTGAGTGACTCAGTTTGAATTATTTTTACTACTTTATTTCATTTTTTTTCTTTAATCTAAAGTTGATGTCAGGTTACAAGACAAGAGATCAGGCCATAAAGAAATGCATCACAGAAGTTTCTGAAAACACCAAACAACTTAGAGAAGAAACAGAAAAGAACCCTGAGAATGGTCAAATTATGAGAAATCTTAAAAAAGAACAAACAAAGGTAACAGCAATATGAAGGAGTGGGAATTTGATAATGGGAATTTAACAGCATACGTTCCATAAAGTGGCTCTTTTAGTCCACTGTTTGCAGGTCATATTGGAATGTTGAATGTTGGTTTTCATGGAGGGAGGTAAAGTGAAGGACCCAGAGGAAAAACCCCATTGATAGCAGGGATGAGAAGCAACAACAAACTAAACCCACCTGTGAGGCCAAGTTTGGGAATCGAATCCTGGCCACAGCAGTGTGAATCAAGTGCTCTCACTACTATCCAATCCCTGCTCCCCCTATCATTATTCCTCAACATCATTCAGCTAAAAGCCTGTTACTCGTAGTATACAAACCATACCTATGGAATTTTAACTCTTTTCTTGAGTGGACATTCAACTTTTTTCAAATTAATTTGGATGAGTTTTTTTGCCGTGTTAGAGAAAATACTCTTTATGCAATTGATAGTGAGGGTCAAAGCTGAAAAGTTGGTTAGTATATTCCAGTTTTTCCTGTCATTAACCCTTCAACTACCATGACTGACCAAAACAGAATTTCTTCTTACCAAAACAATGCTGTGTCAAGCAGACAAAAGATGAGAAGAAAGAAAGATATCAGTAGGTGATTATTAGTTGATCCAATACCAAATTCTCCAAAGTAACATCATAAGTATTGAATTGCAGACAGTAAGTAGCATTTATAATGAAATCTTTGGAGGGTGAGGTTATACACAAGCCTGATCTCTATCAGACCCTTAAAAGGATTCTTTCCAGCTTACATGGCTTTTTCTGTTCATTTACAGCTTAGGTTAATGCAAACTGAACTTAGCGTTGAAGAGGTTTTACAAAATAGGACCCTTAAGGTGGGTTTTTACAAGATTTCTTTTCCACCTTGTGCTCCATTCCATGCTCAGAATGAAGTATTGATGTCTGTCAATACATTTAACCCTTTAATCCCTAAGAGTGACAAGGTTCTAATTTCTCCTTACAATATCACCCTTGAATAAAAGGTTTAAGTGACGAGAATAAAGGAAATGATCAGCAACCAAAAAAACTCTTGATGGTTTTACAAATTCTCCCTGTTAGAACCTAGGAAATGTACAGAGAACAGTATGGAGAATATGCATAATGATGTTAGGGTGTAAAGGGTTAAATATTGAAGGAAGAACGTAAACAAGATTACAGAATTTTAGAATAGGAGTGATGAATGAGTTTTATTTCTGTCATGATTATAAAGACATTGTAGTTTCTAATGTTTTTGTTTGTAATACTTGAACAATATCTTTGCTTCACCATTGGAAATGTGTTTACCAGCATCTCACCCGAAACCATGGTGTCATATTGATAAAATTTTTAAACTATTTTCCCATTTTTGACTTTCTGTTTTTGACTGTAAAATTAATATTAACTCTTGTTTTTGCATCACAGGCTTTTAATGGACGATGCTGGAAGTATTTCAAACCACAATGATGTCTGCAACATACAATTACAATTAATTCAGTTGATTTTAACTTGTTTCTTATCCCATGTATGTATTGATTTGATGGGTGTTACTCAGTGAGACTGCAGTTTAGGTAGAGGGGCCAGTGAAGGTTATTGACTTTGTTGGACTACACAGACAGCAAAGCACCATAGAAGTCTATCTTTTTTCTTCATACTTCTTGATCAAACAACAGAGCCTGTAAATATTTCTTTTTCCATTTTCCTGTGTTTTTGTGGCAGTTTTTCCTTTGGTTATTAGTGATGGTTGTCTGTTGAATTCTAAACTAGGATCACAGTTGATGCATTCAAACCATACTGTCCTTTCCAGCAAAGCACTTGTACCAAATGCATTTAAATAATGATGAAACAAACCTCCACAATTAACTGTTTTGCTGTTTATGGTAGTCTTGGGTGTTTCATTACACAAGTCATTGACTTATGTTCAAGGTGACTTATTATCTAGATCACTAGCTTACTTCACACATATGGGATTTAAAAATATTGTGAAGTAAGTTATTTATCACAGTGATGAGGTAGAAGCATTGTGTAATTCTGGGCCTTAGGATATCATTGAAAAAAGTCTTGTGGAGGAGGGCACCACAGAATTCATGATCACTGGTCCCTAATGATAGTTTGGAGAAAATAAAAGCTGTTAGAATAATGCACAACTGATGAGTCTCAATGGAAACCTGGGTTATTTGGTAACTATTAAAAAGACAAATAATAATGTTGATAATGCTCTGTGCTTCTTCACCAGAGTTAGCATTCAGAGCATCTTACTTAGAGTTGTTTCTTGGCTGCTTCTCTGTATGGCTCATTGATATGCACCAATTGTTAAAACAGATTCAATTTAAAATAAATATTTTGTACAGCATAATGTTTGCCTATGTTCTCTTAAGGAAGTCAAAGTTACTGGTAATTACATATTTCAATTTTTCTGATTTACCATTGTTTGGTAAGAAATGCTCTTTTGAGTGTACTGTTTTTGTCAGTGGCTTTGTTAAAAAGACTGCAACCAATTGTTATAAGTTGGTTATTAGCAAGGGATTCCTCACATGGTCAAACATCATTATGAGAGAGACTTTTATCTCATTAAGGGGGGTAGTGGGAAAAAGAGAACTTAAACATGTTCTCCACAAGTTACATCAGATCACATTCTCTGCAGTGGGAACAATTTTCATTAAAGGAGACCTTGAATTATAGATCACATCAATTAAGTGGTTGGTAAACTACATGTGGGTCCACTGGATTAGAAAGAGGAAACTCATTGACTGTTTTGAACCTTTACCAATTTCAAACCTTCAGGCTGGGTCATGGCATTGTGTACTTGGGAAGGATAGTTGACCCTTGCAGTGCTGCTCTCCACCCAGGAGTATACAAAAGGGTAATCACAAACTGTAAAATTAGGGAAACCTGTAATGGACTATTATCCTATCCAGTCACATGCTACAGAAAACAGGACAGGCTCCAGCAGAGTGGGCCACCAGGCTTGAGAGCAGACATTGCCTTTTTTGACCCATCCCATAATCTGCTTATCTTATCAAAACACATAATCTCCTTCTCATTCAGATACGTTTATTGATTAACTAAAGGATGAGAGTTCATGTAAAGTCCTCTACATGTAAATGTTGATGGTCTGTCATCTTCATTCAGCAGTAGTTTCACAATTACATAAATAGTGAATTGATATTAAAAATTTATGGTTCAAGTATGTTAACATCTGTAAGGTCCTGTGACCTGTTAAGCATAAGGTGCCAACAGCCATAAAAAGGTATTAAATTCAGAAATTAAATTAATAAAAAAGAAAAAAAGGTATTAAATCCAGAAAAATTAATTATTGCACTTTGACATGCTTTGGTATCTAACTAAATTACCATTATTCTAATTGGTCAAAAAAAACTGAATTATGAGTTAAATTTAAAAATAGTCCAGGCTGTCTCCCTCTGACAATTCAGTTTTGATGGCTGTTAACTCAAGTGTTGATCCAGCATGTGGTAAAGTTTGGTAAATACGCAAATGAACATAAGACAAGTCACCCACTTTCACCTGGAAAAACAAATGGAGGTTATTATGGAATAAGATGGTTCTAGGTTACTACTTTAATTTTAAATTTGAAAAGAAAGATAAAACAAACAGTTTTTTGAAATGAATGATCTTAAAAAATCTGCCTTAGCTTTTGGGCTAGAGTCTCTTAACAAGGGAGGGTTACCCAGCACCCATCCAGCAGGAGCTCATTCCAGTTTTCGGAAGATTAACTAAGTAACTAGGAATATTGCTTCTCCCCTTGGATGGGAGGCTGGTCAATTACAGTTTACCCTTCAGAAGTTTTACTAACAGTTTAAGAGTATCCATCTATAATCCTGCGAAGAGAGAGGAACTGTAAGAGTTTAGTGTCTTGCACAAGAACACATCACAATGGCTGACCAGGTCTCAACTTCAAACCTTTTCACGCAGAATCCAGCATACCCATTGTTACCATCAAATCTTTTTTGATGATTCATAAGGGGCTAGGCCCTAAACAACTACTTCCACCCACCCCACCCTGATGAGTACCTCATCCTTTGGTTGCTTGGCCTCCCCTATGGGAAGGGGAGACTTATTTGGACCATTCAAAACCTCCCATCAGTATAAATCCACCTGTGATAATTTTAAGCATAGAAAGCCTTAACATTGCATGACATCTATACAATTATCAAATACAAACCTTCACAAAGTAATTTGTACCAGCAACAAGTTGAGTTCTATAAGAAATGGCTTTAAATTCATTAAATGTTGTACCAGCTTTTGCCTCAGCTTGGCTCTTCACCTTAACAAAAGAAGTACCACAGATTTTTCAAATAAGTCATTATTAACAATGGTGACAAATCTTATGTTTCTCCAGACCAGCACCTCTAATGAAGTGCATAGTTTGTGTGTATAAAGGGTGGTTAGGACAAAATGGCACAAATTTTAAAACTTTTTTTTTAATTAAAATTCAGACCTATGGTAACTCTGACTGAATTGGATCATTAAAAAGTGCTACTCTGACGAAAATCCTTACATGTGGCTTCAAACAAGCCCCAAAATTAAACAATACTTCAACATCAATTAACTTATTCATTCAAAAATTCATTCATAAATTCAACCTTGTTTACATTTTTCTGTTTTTTTTTTTCTCAAAAAGCCAACTTACTGAGAATGTATGGGAGCTACCTTGAACTTTGGAAAAAATACAATAAGTACTTTTCTACACACCTGATTTAGAATTACTGAATATCTATGAATTCATATGCAGGAAAAATTAAAGTTGTTTAATTGATCTGCCTTGGGAGGATTGCACTGAAGCAGAGAAAGCAATATGAGTAGTGATGGTCTCCTTCACAGCCCTTCATGAAACATGATCCATGATGAGATCTAACCTTACATTATGTGAGGAGGGGGGTGTTGAGATTTTTGGTTATGCACTCATCTTTTGGATTTTTTTTTTTTCTTTTTTCGTTTTGGCAAGGAAAATCCTTGATGAGAGATTGCTGTTTTTCCTCTTAATGCATTTAGATTTTTCCTTTAAGCAAAAAAATGCAAGCAGTCTTCTTTGATTGGCGTGCATTTTTGGCAGGAATTCTGAAACAAACCAGATAATTTTCTGCATAGAGGGTTACTTGTTTTAGATAAAGCCAGGGACTTTGTCCACCCACTGAGGAGCATTAAGGTCAGACTTCAGAATATTTCTCATCATGCGTCTACAACTGAAGAGGGTGTGCAGGAAATTGTGGACCGAAATTCTTTGATGGAGAGGGGAAAGGCGCAGATAATTTTACAACGATGACCAGGTTAAGATGCTGTGATGGTTAACATGGTTGACAGACGTCGCATTCGGGATTTCAAATTCTGAGTTAAGATTTATTTTTAACTGTAGCATGATTTTTTTTAACTTCTTGGTAGATAATTCAGCTAAACTTCTGTTATTTGTTACAAATCCTATCTTTTTGACATGCTTCTGTGGTATATCAAGCTTTGCTTTGTATTTTAGCGAGATGTAGTCCGGCCAAACTTCTTATGGTGAGAGGAAACAAGCTACACGTATTGTTCAGATGCGCTATGTGAAGAAATAAAGTTAGTAACTAAGTATGTCACGCACTTGCGCTTGCTACAGTTACGAGTTCTAAACAAACCTCGTTGACAATCGTTTGCACTTGTTCATTAGCCTTCATTTCCTGACCAGGTGCACCACAAGCCATTTTGTATTCAGATCAATCTCGCGAAACTACAGGTGATCTTAAAGACACGACAGAGCTATGTCGAAACAGAAATGTTGCAAATACTTCAGGTGACAGTCACCTGATTTCAGTACGAATGACCTGCCTTGTAACCTACCCTGAGTGAACGACTGAGAGGCTACAAAGCAATATGGCGGACGTCAAAGCAGCAAATAAGTTACGATGGAAGAAATCTGAAAAGCATCGCCGAATACGGCGTAAAGAAACACGGGCGAAAGAAGATAAAGAAATCAAAGAGTTAGAGGATCGTTGCAGAGATGTGAGTTGTTATTATGATGATTGATTCTTGAAGATTTAATGATTTGTTAAAATGTGTTTTCGTTGCACCAGACTTCCATCAGAAACACGTGTTTCAGTTTGTTGTACGTTCTAATGTCATTTGACCCTATATAGCGTGATATTGCCAAGGTGTGATTAATTTTAAAGCAAGGTTATCTGTCAGTGCAAAGACAAGTTGTATTACACGGCAAACTTGTCGTTTAAAAGGCTAAATGTAAATCAAACAACAAGAGAAAGAGACTGCATTTATATTTTATCCCACATCCCTCCTTCAATTGATCAGCTATCGACGTAAGTCTGTTTTTTTTTCCTTTTAATAAGATCTTGAAGTAACATTTTGTGTTCATATCTGTGAAAAAATATCTCAGGAAACAAACAAACCAAACAAACAAAAATAAACCAAAGGATTCTTTATAACCTTTGTGTCAATAAAATGCCTAGGATACATATCTTTCCTGACCAATCGTGAGAAAAAACCAAAATGAAATAAAAGTAGTCATACCAATACTAATAATGATGATGATATAGAACAAGAAACTCTCTTGTGGAATATTACTATGAAAAGTGCAAAATTTTAGGAACCATGCATCTCCCTTATACAGTAGCTTGAAAATCAGTATTCATTATCAACATAAGTTACTCTCTTGAAATCAATATGCCACTGCCCAGGATCTGCTTAAGAACAGAATTAATTGAAATAAACTAATGAGAAGATTTTTTTCCCTGGCCATCTGATAAACAATATGGGACTAAAGACTCAGAAAGCAAGGAAAGTAAATAATTACAGTTGCGTAAGTTTAAGGATAAACAAATTACACCATTATCTGGATAAATAGTAGTTTTATATGTAATTTCAAATTATAAGCAGCAAACCCTCTTGTGGGAAAAAAATTCTACATCCCAAACATCTTTTAGTTTTGTCATTCATCTGTTAATTTAAGTGCAGACAAGCTGCCTGCTATCCAGTTTAGTGCTCAATTTGTGGTACCTAAAATTTTTCATCTCTGACTTCAGTGATTTGACTGTTGCTCCTTGTGTCTGTTCCTTTAGCTAGATGGTTTAGCCAATGTGTCAAAGTTTTCTGATCTACCTCTCTCACAAAGAACACTTCAAGGTATTTCATTAGTTCATAGCTGTTACACTCATTTGAGTTTGTTGTATGTTATTTGCATTAGTCTTTTCTTTACCATAAAATTATTCTCCAAACCATTTTAATTTTTTTTTCATTTGTAAGGCTTGATAGGTGCTGGCTACCTGATTCCAACTGAGATTCAAAAGGCTGGAATACCTATCTCCTTAAAAGGCCATGATGTTTTGGGAGCTGCCAAAACTGGTTCTGGGAAAACCTTAGCTTTTCTTATTCCCGTGAGTAAGGTTATTCAATTTTGTTTAATGGATACTTTTGCTATGTTTTGATAATATTAAATCATTAACAATATTTCATCAGGTAATTGAAGCATTATGGAGACAGCAGTGGTCATCTATTGATGGTTTAGGTGCCCTTATAATCTCTCCAACACGTGAACTTGTGAGTAGGAAAATGCCACCAACGTTATAAATGAGTTATTTTAAATTTTATTGTTTGTACCATATCTCTTTAATTTGATAGCCTCAAATGGAAATGCAAACTATACAGGAAGAACTTCAACTTTGAACAGTGTCAAGTTGATATGCAAGTAGCAAATGAATATAGAAAGCTATACCTAACCTTGCAAGCTTATAAGGCTGTCAGTAAAAAAAATTATCGAAGCTAAAAGGTCTCAACAGCTCACACTTTGTTTCTTACTTGTATAATTATTATGATTTGTTTGTTTGTATGTAGGCTTATCAAACCTTTGAAGTATTATGCAAGATTGGCTGCAAACATGATCTCTCAGCTGGTCTTATCATTGGAGGAAAGGTGACTGTAATTCATATATGCTCTCTACTCTTTATATATGCTCTCTATTACATGTATCTATTCTCTCCCACAGATGCAGCACCACGGTTTCTTTAGAAATTTACCCCCTTTATTCATTTTATTATTATCTAATTTTTTTTTAACACACTTCATAAAAATTTCTTCCCTTAAAAATTTAATTGTTATGATTTTTTTTCTCAGGATTTAAAACATGAACAGGAGAGAATAAGGAGAACAAACATAGTAGTTTGCACCCCTGGACGACTTCTCCAGCACATGGATGAGACACCAGATTTCACTTGCAACTCCCTACAAGTCCTTGGTAATGAAATCTCAACAAGCTTAAGTTGTCAATACAGTATAAACCAAAAAATAATGTGTAACTTCTCTTTCTCTCTTGTTCACAATGTCAATTTTTACTGTGGCTCTATGCTCTGTTGTCCTTTTTTAACTTCAATTTTCACTTTTAATTATCAATCTGCTATTACCAGATCATATCTATGTCAAATAGGATTAAGAAGGGCTGGGTAAGAGAGAAAGTGACATTTCAATGCCTGTTTAAATTTTCATTGTGTCCACCTAGCCAATTTTATATGATTATTAATATCATCACTGTTGTTAATATTCTTATTATTATTGCACAATGTTGTTAAGCCTTTGGTATCAGAAATTTGTCATAATGATTCTGTATACAATATAAGCTTGTTCCATGCCTTGGAAATTAATTTAAACTGATATATTAAATTGCCTGGGGTTTAATAAAAGCTGGTTACTGGCAACCTTCCAACTGATCACACTTTGTTTGTATTAATTATCCATCTTTTGTTTGTTTCTTATTTTAGTTTTGGATGAAGCAGACAGAATTCTAGACTTGGGGTTTGCTGCTACTCTGAATGCCATCATTGAAAATCTTCCAGAAGAGAGACAGACCATGCTTTATTCAGCAACTCAAACAAGGTCAATGAAGATCCTTTCTTGAAATTTCCCCACTTACTTTACATTTTTCTTCAATTGTACATCTTTAACCATCGTATTCCTAAAACAATCTACCAGAGGTCCATCAATATTTGAGAACAACTTTCAATTGTGTTGAGAAGAATCCAGGATTGCTTAGGTTTTTCAAAACTTTGCTCTGTGATTGTTCCAGAAAATTATCTTCATCCTCTTAACCAATCAGATGCAAAACTAAGAACAATGGCATATAGGTCATTCAGTGTGGTCATTGTTTTCACTTTGAGTTCTCATTGGCTAATGATGATATAAACCTTTGTTTGGAAGGGTCACTTAGATTACTTTGGTTTTGGTTTTTCAACCCTTTAGCTCCCAAAATCTCATTAGTTTTCACTCATTTCCAGCCAACTTGTTTTCATATATATTTTATATATTATGAATTGCAATGATCTTACTCTTTTGGTTGCAGATCAGTACAGGATCTTGCAAGGTTGAGTCTGCAGGTACAAATTTGTAGTGTTCAACTAAGCTAATCACTAGCTCCAAAAATTGTCAGGACTATCCCAGAAGGCAAACAAAATGTACTAGTTGTAGGGGTTTCAACAGCTTTTTCCATAAGCAGCTGACAATGGGTGATAACTGACTGGCTGTGCTAGGAAAAGAGGCTGTAAGGCACCCTTTCCCTTAGGGGTTTATTGGGGCATGCTAAAGAGACAGCTGTGAGAGGTTTAATGGGTGGCAGTAGATCACTGGTTAGCAGCTTTTATTGAAACCCCTGACTGCTGGTTTTAGCTAAAGGGCATGGTTTTCAGAAAGGCTTGAAGAAGGGTGACTTTATTGTTACTGTCAAAGCACACTGGTGTGACAAAGTTAAAACCAAAGGCCAAAGGTAAACCCTAACAGATGGTGATTATTTGCAAGTTTGGCTAGGTTAGTGTCTAATTGCCTCAAAACCTTTCATAAATAGGTGACTTGATATTTGCCTTCAAAAAAATTTTATCTTCATCTGGGTTGGCTTTAGATGATTCATTTACCACAAATGAATATGAATGAGAATTAAAATTGTTTCCTTAATGTCAATCTTATTAGGATCCTGAGTACATTGCTGTACATGAAAACTCAAGCACAAGCACTCCAAAAGGACTAACTCAGGTAGATTAATATACAATTTTCTTTCTTATACAGTTGCATTTGATAATCTTTTGGGGGTAGCCTGATTAAAAGAGTGATGAATTCTTTTCCTTCTGTCTACTGCCATTAATTTTTATAAAATTTGCTAAAAGAATTGAGTAATTATGTATATATGCTTTTAACCCTTTAATCCCTAGGAGTGCCTGGCATCTAACTTTTCCTTACCATATCACCCCTGAATCAAACATTAACATCACAAGAATGAAGGAAATGATCACCAACTATAGAAGCTCTTGATTGTTGAACAAATTCTCCTTGTTAGCCCCTTAGGAAATATATAGAAAACAGTATGGAGAATATGCATACTGATGTTAGGGTTAAAAGGGTTAAACCTTTCACCCCCATGTGTATATAATTATAAACTTCTCAACTAATTTATGCTTGGAAATGTATTGATTTTGTAAGAAGAAATACAGTTTTGGTCATTGTAAGGGGATGAAATGTTACATTAATGTATTAATGTAGGGCTCCATTAAAATTAGCTTATGCTAAATTGTGTACTTTCTGTAGGAGGAATTAAAATTAACAATTGTCATTCTGTTTGTCCACTGTTATATAAACTTCAGGGTTACATCTATAGTTTGTTTGTCTCTTTTTTTTTTCAGAGTTATGTTGTTTGTGAACTCCCAGAAAAGCTTAATTTTCTATATTCCTTTATCCGTAATCACATCAAGAGTAAGATTCTTGTCTTTGTTTCAAGTTGTAAACAGGTAAGGGTTTAAACATCTTGAGCAGCCATAATCTAACTTTACATGTACATGGTATCATATCACTTGATTCATCAGAATCTTGCTGTTCCACAGTTAGGAACAGTTTTGAGAGATGAAGAAACTGTTAGGTTGATATTTTTAAATTCCTCGTTTGAAATCCATTTTAATTATCTCCATGTTTTGCCATCTTTTTTTTGTTAGTTTTTTTTTTTTGTTATTGGCTGCTTTTGTTTTGTTGCCTTACCCTGCTATTAGAGACCATAAGCAAACAAAGATGGTAATGAGGTAGTGGAAAAACAAAAGATCTCATGGGCAGAACAATAGCCCAGCACATAGGTTTTACAACCTTGTACTTTATAGCCATCCTCTGCAAATAACAATTTGAAATGACCAAAACTTTCATGGTCTGAAAGAAAACAGAAACTAAGACATCAAATCATTTAAGTTTCCATTTGGATCTCAATGCTGCTTATATACATTATGCTGAAATTGAGATGTGGCACTGCAAGAAACAGTAAATGCGACCAGACATCTGCAAAATTCTTACTGAAAATATTAATTCATTTTTCAAACAATTTCTCTCTCAGCATGCCATCCTTACTGCTCAAGGTCCTGTTGATTAAATTGTAGTCTCCATCAAGTTAAAGTTAGTTCTGCACTACACAAAAATTGGCTCAAAGTGTTCTCACGTAGCCTTCCTATCATCTCTTTCTTCCATCAGGTAAAATTTATTTATGAATCTTTTCGTCGTCTACGTCCTGGAATTCCATTGATGGCTCTATATGGAAAACAAAAACAGCTGAAGAGAGTAGCAATTTATAATGACTTCTGTAAGAAGACAGAGGCTGTGTTATTTGCTACAGATATTGCAGCCAGGGGTCTGGGTGAGTATTTTAGGAGTCGTGGGAAGTTAAGTTTTTATTGGATAAAACAATGTTGATGCAATCCTTTGAAAGTCTACCATGATTGATGAAGGAACTTGTATCATGAAGGCTGATAGGTATTTCCTTTATTCTCTATTCTACAGACATTCCTGCAGTACACTGGGTGATCCAACTGGACTGTCCAGAGGATGCCAACACATACATTCATCGAGCTGGAAGAACAGCTAGGTAATTTAGCAAGGAAATGTTTGCAGTACGGCAGTATTGTGACCTCATGGTTTACCCACTGGACTTCAGGTTAGGAAGTCTGGGTTTGAAACCTGACCAGCTGATTGTGTTGTGTCTTTTGAGCATGACACTTAACTCAGACAGTGCCTCCAGTGTATGTAAATAGGTATAGGTAAACTGTCTGGGAAGCCTGGCAAATGCTGGGGGTAACCTTGCAATAGACTAGCATCACATCCAAAGGAAGTAACTATACTTCTTGCCACTTCATGCTACAGAAACTGGGATAAGCACAGGAGTCCCGTGGGCCACTTCTCAGCAGAAGACAAAACTTTTCAAGGAATTACTTTCACAGTATCTTGCTTGCTTGGAGCATAAATGGGTACCTGTGAACATGGAACATCCTCTATGGGGGAAGGGGGGTTACCAATATTGCTTGTTGCATAATGCTGCAGAAGGTGGGAAGAAGAAAATGCCACTAAGCTTGGCACAGCAGTAAAATGAGTATGCATGCTCAGCAGAAATGGAGCATTCAGGGAGTATTTTGTGACTCTGAGGTGATTAAATTTCAATGGGGAATGAACAGGACATTATTTTACACATTTTTGGACTGTTATTAATGTGAACCAAGTGGACAGTTTAACAGCCTCTGTTCTTATGGAAAGGTCTGAAGGATAAGTAGCATTCTTTTAGTCATAGTACATTGTACAGCTAAAGCCAGAGCACTCACTCTGAACTTTGTAGCCATGTTATGGATGCTCTACTTCAGTACCTAAATATACACCTGTTGCTGCAACATTTTGTTTTGTTGCATGAAATTTGTAATGGAAGAGGTTTGATAGAAACTTTCCTGAAACAGCAACCTTATTTGTTTTGGTTTGAACTTACCCTCACAGGATGAAAATAAACAATGGGTATTTAAAAATGTGGCCATTTTCTCACAATGGTGTTACTAAAGAAATGTTGTCATTCCCATTCCTTTGCCCTCATAAAAATTTGTCATGGATTACAACCATGTGCACTCATTTTGCCGCTGTGTCACTTTGCATGGGTGAAGACCATAAGTCCAGTAAATAGTGCCTTAATGGAAATGGTAAAAAGACCTTGTAGTTGGCACATCACAGTGTCAGTTTTTGGCCCTAGCTGAGGCAATTTTGTTATCTTTATCCACAAAAGAGTGTAAATTGGTACTGGCAAACTAGCAATGGGAGGGGGGTAACTCGTGATGGACTTGCATCCCATCCATAGGGGTTAGCAATAGTCAGTCACTTACTTATGCACTAGAAACCAGGATAAATGGTGGCAGTTATGTAGGACTTTCTTATGTGGAGCCTTAACCATTACACTTTTATACCTTGACTTTGATATTTTAATGAATTGCTGACCATTAAGTTAGTTTTGTGTTTGTCCCTTTTAGACAGTCTTTAAGACTTGGCTTCTTTTTTTTTAGGTATCAAAAGAATGGCCAGTCTTTGTTGGTGTTGTTACCTTCAGAAGAACAAGAAATGATCAAGGTGACACCCCTATTGTAATGCCTCAGTATATCTCCATGTTTCTCAAAATAAAGGGATGAGATAATGGGCTTAATTCATCATAAAAATTTATCTTTCGACCATAGGGAAGAACTGATCTTATTGTCACCTGAGTGTAAAAAGTTTTTTTACCTCTTTTGTGTTGGGTTAAACCAATTAATTGCCCTCATTATCTTTTTCAGGCTCTAGAAGAAAAAAAGATACCCATAAACAGAATAAGGTTGTTCAAAATTTTTTTGATTTATTGGTTATGTGAATATGAAAGCGATCTTTGCAGTAATGAACACTGCCTGAGCTGTAGTGAAAATAAGGCCTGAAAAAAAAAATTTAGGCCTGTACTGGATTTGAATCTATTACCTCTGTGACACCAGTGCAGCACTCTACCAACTGAGCTCACAAGGCAACTGGGAGCTGGTCATTATGTTGGTACCAGATAAACCTGTGAAGTGGTGAATAAACAACTGTGAATATATGAAAGTCATATTGAAAGTCATATTGCTCATGCTTTTCAGGCCTTATTTTCACTACTGCTCAAGTAGTGTTCATTACTGCGAAGATCGCTTTCATATTCGCACTTTATCCATAGTTCAAATATATGACTTTCATATATTCACATTCGTTTATTGGTTATGTTGATGATAGGCTGGGGGCATAGGGGCGGGGTAACCTTGTGATGGACTGGGATCCCATCTAGGAGGGAGCAGTAATACTCCTGGTCACCTCATGCTTAAATTGCCCTTGAATTGTTTGTTGTCTCCTGTATAAGAGCAATTGTCAGTTGTGTCTCTTTGTATTCCAAGATTGTATTAGTTATACTGATGAAGTGCTAGGAGCTAACCCTGCAATGGACTGAGATCTCATTCAGGAGGGAGTAGTGTTACTCCTAGTTGCTTCATGCCACAGAAATCAGGATGAGCTCAGGAGTCTTGTGGGTCACTGGGCTCGAGAACAGACTTTACCTAGGGAGACCTGGAACTTTCCAGAGAAATCTAACAAAATGTAGGGGGAGGGGGGGGGGGAGCAATATTCTTTGTTGCATGATGCTTTGCAATCCAGAGATTAGCTCAGGTGGTATGTTATTCTTTTGTTTCGAATTGCAGAGTAAACCCACAGAAGCTTGGGTCAATTCAAAAGAAACTTGAAGCTTTCTGTGCGCAAGACTTGGAAATAAAGCAGTGGGCACAAAAGGTAAACAAGTTGTGCTCCCATAACATCTGGTCATTTATTCGTGCGCCGGATCAAGTCTCTATGAGAGTTGGAACCTGTGACTCCCGGATGCTAATTGCGTGGTACTACCAACTGGGCTACGGGGCCAAATGAATATTTATCAACTTAGGGAAAAATTAGAAATTAGATCTTTGGAGTTCAATCGATGCCACGAGTGCTACAATTTTATTTCATCTTTCAATTGATTCCCCTACAGAGTATTGTATCGTACGCAAGATCCGTGTTTTTACAGTCAAACAAAAAGATTTTCGATGTCAATCAGTTGCCGTTGGACGCGTTCGCTCAGTAAGTCATTTGTTTTGTGTTGCTATGGACTTCGCTTAATCCATCGAAATTTAGTAACTAGGTGCCTTCTGCCTTCTGAGACTCCTTTCCGGTGACAATTGTCAAATACAAACGGCACCCCACTTAAAATAAGAAACGAAAAATTAAACAACAACAAATTTTATTGTAGATAACAGCATGACCAGTCAACTGAACTAGAAGCTTTTTTTATGCTTCTGACCAAACATAGCGACCTAATTTTACCAACGGATTGAAACTGACCAATCACAACAAACAAACGCTATTTGAGTCTTGCTGTCAAGCTGACCGCCGAGTTTTCACCAAACTTTTCATGAAACTCAACACGAACGAACCGAGGGAGTCAGGCCCCTTACAAGGTACCTGAACGAGATAGAAAAGACGGAACATGCCTCGGGAGCAATTGTAAATACAACAAAAAGACAAACAAACAAACCTGATGAAAACAGAATCGGGAAATTTACACTTGATAATGACTTAATTTTTTTGTTTTAGATCACTTGGATTACCCAATCCTCCTCGGATTAGATTTCTCAAGGTAAGGTCAAGTGATAGTTTGTTCTGCATATCAGTTGGTTTCGTTGTTTCACGACATCAAAGCTCACTTTGCATATTTACTTTACAGAAAGCAGAGAAAAGGTATGGTAAGCAAGATGACTCGCAGATTGACGTCATCGGCCCGAGCAGTCGATTGGAAGAAAACAGTGGGAGCAGTGATGAAGAGACTAGAGACGAGGAAAGTAACAACGAGAAGGATCTGGGGAATAGTGCAAAAATGATTAATGTTAGCGCTCCACAAGATGATTTACTTGTTCTTAAGAAACGACACATTGACTTCGACCCAGGCCCACCGTTAAAAGAGGTAGGTTTGACAATATTGTGATTTTAATCCAGATTTTGTTCTGTAACGCGTTTAGTTAGAGTATCAGTCGTAAGTGGTGAAAACTTTTACATTTCTGCCTACTGTCAACGTTTGGCGATAAAGGCATGCTTATTTTGTTTTTCTAGTCGTGTTGGAACAATTTTCGCTGAAGTGTCGAAACTACTCAGGGTTTGCGTTACTTTATTCGCATTCCCCTTCAAATTATTGGTCTAGAAAACTATGTTAACCCCCTCGACCATCGCTGAGGTCCGAAGTGACTAGAGAAACGGTCAGCGGTCGCCTTTCCCGCGTAGAAGGCTGTCCACTTGTATGTATGTTGAGTTTTCATTGGCCCCTTGTGACTTTTACCTTTGGCCATTATGATTGCTTTAGCTTTTATGATACTCAGTCGAAAAGGTCTCTATCACGGAGAATGTGATGGGTTCAAATGGCCATTAAGAAAATTGAACAAAAGAAAAGGAAGAATTACACACAGCTGATCGAATTCAACTTTTTCAAATCTGCTATTAACCCTTGGGCCCCAAAGGGTGACTAGCATCTAATTTCTCCTTACAAAATCAGCCTTGAATCAAGAGAATAAAAGAAATGATCACCAACTGAAGTAGCTCTTGATTGTTAAAGAAACTCCTCCTTGTCAGCGCCTTAGGAAATTTATAGAGAATAGTAAGGAGGAAATGCATACTGATGTTAGGGTGTAAAGGATTAAGGAACAGTAATGCGGTTCATGATCGGACTATGGCCATTATCCTCTCTTAGACTATCTGGGTTTTTAATTGGTCACGTTTGCAAAAATATATATTAACGCAATTGCTAGGGATAGTCTAGGGTTTTTTAAAGGGGGAAATGATATTAAAAATTAAAAAAAACTTTTTGGTTTTAGGAAGAAATTCCAGAAAAAGAGAAGAAATCAAGGAAACCAAAGAGCAAAATTGCTGTTGCCAAAAAGATACTTAACAAAAACGTGAAGGTGAACACAAAGATTGTGTTCGACGACGAAGGAGAGGTAACGTTCGATTTGTTTGATCTTTCGACTTCCAGGAGTACTTACTTGCAATTTTAATACGCTGTGAAGCAGACAAGGAATTGGAATGGGAAACTGATAGACTAGGCGAGAAATTTAGCGAAATATTTGGCAAAAAACGTACCGCTTACAATCGTAGAGTAAATTTTCAGATCTTAGAGGTTAGGAATGTCAGTCAATTACTGGTACAAGCATCACGGATTTTTCCTCTAACAGGGTATATTCACCGTACAAATTGATTTTGACGTCTTCTTCATACAAGAACCTGATTGACACAAAATGAGCTTTTTTTCCTGAAACGCGGAAATGTTCTTAAACAACCCTAAATGCATTGCAAGTTCTTAATCGTGTAATCAGAATATTTGTTTTTCAGTATTTCGTTCCCATGAAGCTCAAATTTTGGAAATTCCCTTTTAAAGATAAGAAGTAATAAGGATCCAGGTCCCCCATAGACAACACTGCATTTGAATCTATACTCAACTTGCAGCCAGTAACGATTGAAGGAGCTCCTCTCGATCACACGGGTGAGCCTGAATCATCCAATGAGACACTCGAACCAGTTCCCCTCAATGAGAGCCACAAGCGTCAAGTGGGTGGAATTTCGGTGGCAGAATCGCGTGACTTGATGCGCGAGGCAGATTTGATTGACAGGAAAGTGGAGCGGGAACGAATTAGAAGCAAGCACAAAGAACAAAGAAAGAAAATCAAGAAACGACGACGCGAAGAACAGGTGAGAAGAAGGAGAGACCCTTTAGTGATCGTTGTTGGATGAAACCTGATCATAGTTGGATTCAGTGACAATACGTCTGTGGCAATCATGATTAATGTTAAAATAAATGATGCCTTTTCCCCGAGTCCCGAGGTCAGCTGCAAAGAGCCTAAATGACAAAGTAAACGGACAATAAGCGTAAAACAAAACAAGTATTTCCTATTCTCAGAGGAAATTAATGCGAAGACCACTTGCTTTGTAAATAGGCTTTTATGATTCGACCGTCACGCTAAATTAATTTTGATTTCTTAGGGTGTCTCCGGTGTCAGTTTAGCTGAAGATGAAGAGAACGCAGAGGAATCGTTTGAGTCTGATGAAGAAACACCAGTGAGGTATCCGTGACTTTCTCTTTCTTAACCCTTTAATTACCAGAAGTGATTGACAAGTAACTTCTCCCTACAATATCCCTACAATATCCATGCTCTATCCAGCAAACAGGTAATGAGAATACTCAAATGTATCAGGTGGAAGTTATCTTGATCTAACACCAAATTCTCGTTACTTATTTACAAGGAAATTTGTAGCAGCTAGAGGGGAGAGTTAACAATCAGATCTTGGGAGTTAAAGGGAATGAGCAGCCTAGCAATTGCTGCAAAATTTTAAGACGAGATCCTTCGTTTGAAGGAACTTTGCACTCACATGAACATGTTAGTCGAGAGACTGAGATGAAGACTTGTTTTGATAATAAGACTGTAAGTGAGCAATTGAAGGAGGATGAAGACTATGGTTATAAACATTGGATGTAATCGTAAATTTTCATTTTTCCCCTCCTCAGCCCAAAGAAGAGAAAACGATTTCCAAAGGGTGAAAAATCCATAGATATCTCTTTGGATTTGGCCCCTCAAGGAGCATCTTTGGCAGATGACGAGGAGCTCGCATTACAGTTACTGACAGGATCTTGATAAAGAGGGAGACATTTGGACTAAGAGGAACCGAGGAACACTCTCGTGATACCTGGTCCCGGTCCCTATAAATAACGATCCTCAAAGTGTGGATTCCTTTTCACGTGAAAGGAAAAGCTCCCACTAACCTGGATCTATTGCCAAAGACGATGAAATGTGGGTTTCTGGTCAAATTTATGACCTACCGCCAGAAATACCACGTATTCGACACGATGTTCTGTGTTTGGATCCTGCACAAGTATCGTCCAAATAGTACTTATTTGGGTCCACGCAAATACTCAGTCCAAAGGGTCACGACAAAATTTATGGAGCTCGATGCCTCCCAAAAAACGGCTGCTACTAAGTGCAAAGGAATAAATGCAACCTCGTTCCCATTCCTCAAACCCTTTTAGGAAGAAGAGAGAGGGCCCTGGGAACAAGGTTGAAATGAATGCGGGGACCCTAGTTTATGTCGTCGACAACTTTTGCTCAGTTCATATCTTACTTACACCAACAAGTTTAGGTTGACCTTCTCTATCTAACACAATGATTGCCTCTCGCGATATTAATTCTCAATTTTACGCACTGTTGTGCGTTTAGATTAGAGAATTTAGGGTTAAATCAGAGGGAATCTTACCCCCCCCTCCCCCGTAATTTTCATTTTGTCATCTTTCTGGTCAAGAATGTATTGATTTTATCACATAGGGAAAAGCAATTTTTATCACTCCGGGGAGGGTAGAAGTTAGCCTTTAACACCTTAACATCAGAACGCAAGATCTTCCTTCTGTTTTCTCTACATTTCCTATGGTACTTGCAAGGTGAATTTGTCTAAGAATCAAGAGCTTCTTGAGTTTTCGATCATTTGTTTAATTCTTATGACCATAATGTTTGATTCAGGGGGTTTAAACTGTTGAGAGAAACTAGATGCTTTGTGATGACTCCTATTAAAGGACTTATTGAAGACACGTCCGTCATCGGGAACTTTATTCGAACCACGATATAGAACAAAAGTTCACACTAACAGCCTCTTTTCTGTTCTCCACCTACTTAATTGGGGATACTTAAGATGTTTTAAAATTACAACTCTTAAAAGCAACGAACAATCAAATTGAATTGTTCTACATGATAAAAACTTAAAACACACAAACAAAAACAAAAACGTAACCTAAACATAATTCAAAGGACGGGAAAAAATCACCCTCTAAGTTTTATTCCAATAAATTTCAGCAAAACAAAAGTATCCAGTGCTAACGTAAAAAAGTGATTGTGTTTGAGAGCAATATAAAACACGATTTTTCAGTTCGGAAACCAATTAAATTGTCATTCATTGACAGCAAGATGTCTTTGTAATGTTCAATTTTCCAGTTTTTTTTTGTTATGGCATAAGGAGGGAACAATGAGAGTTTCACCTCTGGATATGACACATAGTCTGTTTACGTGTTCTGTCCTCAACGTACTCCCAGTGAAGCGTACTTCTTGCGTGCCTAGTCTTATTTTTGTGCATTCTATTTAACAATTTGTTATTGTGTGGATATTTCTATCTTATTGATGCATTCTTTTCAGTCATTGTGGTGAGATCGTATTCGATACGTAAGCTGCTTGGGAAGTACGAATAACACCTAGGGTGCCTGCACGCATAGATAGAAGTGGGTATAATTCTTAAAAGATATTGGTTCCTCGAATATTGTTACGTGATCTGTATTGAAACAACTAAACACGACCTCGATTTAAGTCGATTTACATTCTCTCCGATTTGCTTCGTAAAAAAAGTTTGTGGTTATTTTATTCTCCCCCATCGGCAGTCAAATTTTTTGAGGTGTCTCCCCCCTTATACCCTGTTAGCGACGACTGGCTCCCTTTGAACTCCAAGTGTTTCCCCCCCCCCCCCAGAATATCACCCCACCCCCTCCCCCCCACTCAGGTGATAAATAATGACTGTTCCCAAGGGTGGAATGAATGAGCGTCACCTTTCAAAAAATTATGCACCACTCTGATTGGTTAGGATTTCAAATACTGTGAATGTTCGTGTAATTTTTCCATTGTTTCGGATGTCTTTCCGGCATTTTGTTGTTCACTTGATTCCTTGGCGTCATAGTAATTCAGGCTGAACACCTCTCGCTCTTTCATCTAATCGTGCTTGTACCTCGCAGCGATTGTAAGTGTCTATCTCGTTCTCTCCTGTTTTCCCTTTGCGTTTATTTTTGTTATTTTCTTTTCACTTGTTTTAAGTAATTTCACTTTCCTTACCGTATACAACTCCGTTGCATGTTTATTCTGAGAGGGGAGGAGTTTTCGCTCAGACGAGAAAGTCTTCGAACGATTTGCCATCCGACCGACAACATTCAGTTCGCCGCGTTTTATTTACACAAGGTTTTATTTACCTAAGAATCATTTTAACACTGCTGCCGGTTGGCAGGTTGTGACGAAAGACAAAGTCTCTCTAGATGTTGCGTTTTAAGGTTGTGAAGCTGAAGTTAACTAAATTCAGAGAGAGATTTTGAACTCAGTTGGCCTGATTTGGCTAAGAGCTTTCAGGGGCTAAAGATGATGTCGATGTTTGATTCGATTAGCCGTTGTGATAAGTTTGGCTTTCGGTTTTCGACACTGAATTAAAAGTTGCTAAATGAAGTAGAGTGTATGAGTGTTAACCATAAAGAGGCATACATTCTAATCAGTTAGGCCATCATTGTGTGCAGAAAAACATTCTGGCGCATTCATGACTTGATAGATTACTATCTTCTAGAGGTTAATTGGCTGTTTTTATGCTAGAGACGTTAAAGTTGTCTAAGACGTTAAAGTCGTCTCGAGACGACTTTAACGTCTTAGACAACTTTAACGTCTCTAGCATAAATGCATCTATTTAGGTGCTGATGCAACAATCACAGAAAAGTACCTTAACTATTTTGAACTCTACTAAATTTTTGTCCCTACTGCATTTCCAGGACAAATAATAGTCAATATTTCAGTCTAACACATAAGCCTTGGCGCCAAAGAGTAAGACTTAGTTAAAAACAAATGTTGAAATTTGCATTTCTCTATGCAACGCGTGCATTTTAAAAAATTTTCTTTATCACTTTCACTTGATGTAGGCTAGAGTTGTTATCCGAAATACTGAGACTTTAAAATATTTCTCGGATATTTTTCAAACTATTTACCAGTGTAACGATTTTATTTCATTATGAACCCACCTGGTTTTAAATACAATTTTGACTTAGACACTTTTTTTCCTCTTGTTTTGGATTACATGTTATGCATGCCAACTATCTCAAATGAACAATAACAATGAGTGTCGAGAGGAATCTGGGATTGGTTTGTTTTTGCCGAACTTCGGTCTATGATTGGTCCATAAAACTTGCGCTACTCCCTCAACCAATCAGATGCAAAATTAAAACCAAGAACGTCTTGGTGGCCCGCGTTTTCCCGCGCTTTAACCATTTCAGTCACTTTTATTTTGAGTTTTCATCTGAAAGGTGTTTTCAATTTTTGGCCGTTGCGATTACTTTTATTTTGGTTTTACGACACTCAAACGAAAAGCGCTCTTCTGCGCTGTGATTATATATTGTTGAACAAATTTTTTAGTCTCGTGCTTACAAATGCTTGGCAACCAACATCAAGAGGCCGACCTCAGTGTCAAGAAAAAATTCTGGCTTCTCAACAGATTAACATGCACAGCTTCGGGAAATAAAACGTCGAATATATTTAATCGTATGGGCACCTGATTAAATACTAGGCCAAAGTGTAGGTGGGTTGGCCACTCCATGTCATTATATCTGATCCTCTATTCATAGTTGGATTACTCATGCTATTATTTGTATATGAATTGTTTTAGCTCTCATAACTCAAGGAAATAATAATCCCATCGTATTTTACAGGGATTATTTTCAATGACTGCAATGAAACACGATCAACTATTAATGAACTTTTGGAAAACGTGACACGTAGTTTGAACCTATTCAGCCCGGTCTGTATCCATGAATAGTATACTCGCGAACTTTGTCTTCTGATAAAATCAAACTCTTGAAAACACTTTGGGAAAAGAGACGATGGACTAGAATTATTGTGTTAAATGAATTCACAATGGTGTCGAAGGGTAAGTGGAGCTTTCTTTAGTTTATTAGTGACTTTTAAGGGTGAATATCCGAGTAAGTTCTACTGAGTGAAAGCTTTATGTCATTTCATTGGATGAAGACGGCAAAACGCTTTCCTACGAGTTGATTTTCTGGTGTTAGATGTATCTCGTGTTAGATGAAAGTACAAATTCGGAGTTGGCACTTTTTATCTTCCTTGATCACGTGCAAATCTCGTCGAATTTCCTCTTATCTCGTGTATCTTTATTTGTTTAAAAAGGGAAACATGGCAAGTGTCTTTTTCTTTTAATTCTACCGCAATATGAATACAATTTTTTTTAAATCTCGCTTAACATCGTCTTGGGAAAATTTCAATTGCTGTCGTTTTAGAAGCAGCAGGTTTGCGGTTTTAGCTGTTTTGTTTTTCTTTTTTCCTTATTTCTGATTCCACGAAGATATTGCTTACAACGAGAAGAGGACTGTTTTATACATACTATAAACAAACCGTCATTCAGTCAGTCACAGAGGTCTTTTGATTTGGTATCTTTATCACTACTACCGTTTCATACATACCCTAAACAAAACGTTTTTCTGTTGGGTCACACAGGTCCTTTGATATAGTATCCATATCACTGGTGCTGTACTGAAAAACTTAACTCCCGTTACATGTTTAGGTTCTAAAGCGCCTTTTTTCGTTCCCGAACCTGAAAGAGGCGTTTGTCTTAGCGCACTCTTCCCGGAGAATTGTAAAATTGTCGGAGAGCATATTAAAACATGCGCTGAGATTGATGACCGTTGTTCACGGCTTGGGTGTTTCTAAAGTACAGCGACTTTAGATAAACGCTGGTCTAACGCCTGAACGGTAAGCTCGACACAGACCCCCACGCATAATCTTGAGAAAAATTACACCAGTTGCTTCAGCTGTCGCTTCTATGTGATCCAACATATCCCACAATTACAATAGAGTTGGTTATCCTTAGAGCTTGATTTTGACATCAACTCGTGAGAAAATGAAATTTCAACGGGACAGTTTAAAATTTAAGTCGTATCACCGCATTATTGTTTTATCGATTTTCAAATATTTCCATCAAAACACAAAGATACTTTCTCAATAAGATCCCTCTGAGCGTTGATTTGTTTTCTTAGTATCTATATTAAAAAGTAATTTCGCCAATGTCAACGTCAATATCGTGAAAAACTTATTGTCAAAAGAGAAAAAAAGCGACGTCTTTTGAGGACCGGGGGCTCGTGTGAGGCGGAAATGAGATTTTTGAGAAGAAAGCAAATATTTGATTGCTTACTCCTTACCGTTTTCAAATATCCCTTGAAAGCGCCGATGGGATTGGCCAACAGTCATCCGAGGTGTGATATATATTTATGATTGCTTTTTTTTTGTTGGTTCACCCACCCACTAATCTACTTGCATGATATTTTCCAATATTTCGTGACTTTCGTACATGAGAGGCTCTTCCCATGACCAGGTGTATATTCTGCAAGGGTATAAAACCGCGGTTTAAACTTGATTATCCAACTGTCTTTCTTTAAACAGCTTCAATACGGAACAACTAGTCATCTGCACGCCACTAAAAATTGAGAAGCATTTTAACCAAATGCGCTTTGCGGAAGCTGTGAGGTCAATCCTGCCGGTGAACATTGACAAGGAATTTTGCATTAGATCCATTTCATGTGCTACTGAAAAGTGAGTCAAAGACAGCACAGTTTTTCTGTTAAATTTTAGCTTAGAGATATGTAAGGAGTTAATTCTAAGTTGTTGTTACTTCAGTCGGTTCTTCGATGGAGTTTTACCTCCCTCCCAACGTGTATATAGTATTATATAGCTCAGTTCTGGGAGGCCTGGGTTCGGATCCCGTCGAAGCCTAAATTTTTCAGGCTTCTTCGTTTCTGCCATTGCTAAATAACTCACTTGGTCAACTGCGAGGATCATTGCTTCACTTGATTCATTCTCTCTATTATCAAATCATTCGTTGAAAACCAATTAAAAGATTTAGTGAGATATACATTATCAACACTAAGTTCCCTAGACACATCCAGTAGATCAAATATTGAACACATTTGAATTTATTCAACCTCATTTCATCAGCAAGTAAGGACAGCTAGCTCGGTGAAACGGGCTGAGATCATGAATGCTTTAGGAATTCAATTTCAGTTTTCCAAGCTTCTTCTCTTTCGTTCGCTTTAATAAGTACAACGGCACTGATTCCTCATTTCTTTACTTTTCATATTTCCCGAAGTTTAGATTTATCTCTGTGATGTATTTAATGTCACAAACTGGATTAATCAAGATTTAAAGTCGTGTAAATAGTGAGCCTTTTGACGCTTCACGAAAAATACCTAATTAAAACTATTTTCACCTTCCGCCAAAAAAATTCCAGGTGGGAAGTAACAGTTGCAAGTCAGGAACATAGAGCCTCAACAATGTTTTAGGGTAATATATCGTCAGCGAGATATCGCGTAAAATTATTTGAGACACTCTTTCATCGGTACGTCCGGTGTTGAATCGCTTTTGGTCTCTTTTTACGTTTAAGTTTAACCCTCAGGAAAATTTTTTGTTTGTCTATTTGGAGGAAGGCTCAGAAAGAGTATATAAACTGATGTAAACTGTATTCTGTGTTATTGGGCTTATCATTCTGACGTGTAGATAATTCAGTGGTATTTACATCGTATATTGTTTCAACTAGAGGGGATCAAAGATCATCGTCTCTGGTGACCAATCAATGTGAAGTAAACATAAGTTATTACGTTTGACGAGAATGTCGGTTTGAGTTCGACCGGACGTAAAAAAAGTTATTTTGCCTCACTTTAGCCAATAAAAGCCCAGTAAATGCTGTTTCATACTTTGTACTATATTGGTGTCGGTTCAAGTTCCAACATAGCTAAATAAATTCATAGCCTATGCACTCAAATCTGTCTGTTTTTACCGCATGAAATGCAAATTCCCAAGGTGTGCTTTGTTCGACTCCATATTCAAGTTGTCTGTTTTGCAATTGGAAAAATAGTGTCCGGCCTACCATACATGATACTTCTAACGCGAACTCATGATTACATGTTAGCTCTGAACAAAAAAACTTGAAACGGAAGAGCATCATGATATTTCTCTTTTGTGGTTGGCGTTCTTTAAATTACAAACAAGTTTTCTATTGAATTTTAATTAACGTTACAAGTTACCGTGAACGATATTGATGAAGGGTTCTGAATTAAATAAATCATGTGAAACTGCACTATGCGAAAATGAAACTTGTGGCCGGGGAATGAACAACTCCACGTCGTGTAGAAACAAAACAATTTACTTTAACTTCTCAACGGTGAAATGATGTAAGTTTAAACTAATATAACAAACAATTATAAAAGTTACACAATATATGATATAAAGAAATAACAAACAACACGACGGAAAGAGGACTATCTGATACTTTGAAACACTTACATTGTTACGGCCATAGAAAGACCAATATTGTTACTGCGAAATGCTGAGGCCAAAAAGGAAAAGGGAAAAAGATAAGCGGTGCGTTATTGAACTGCGCTTAACGCGAGAAACGAGAAGACAGGCATAAAGATAAATTATGTGAGGTAGTACTAGGGCGGCAATAAAAATGACGAAAAGAAAAGTGTGCTGATGAAACAGTAAGTTAGTATGAACGTTGGCTAATTACCGGCTGAACAGACTTAAGTAATAAACTTGAACTCGTGAAAATCCAACATGAAAAAATGTCGCACTTAGAAATTACATCGTGTGTTCTCGCTTCTAGAGGAAAAGACTGTCCTCAATCCCTCGAAATTAGACTAAAGTTTCGTTCCCAGGTTAGCTATTCATTAGTTTTCCCGTCTCGGGCATAACCTTCCAGCATACCAGCGGCCTGAAGTAGTCTGAATAGCATGTTCTAAAAAATGTCGCCTTATTTCAACCAATCAAAACAAAGAAAATGGCCCAATTTACTAAGTAGATAGAGAAATAGACCATGGTTGTCGTAATAGATACTGTTGTCAGTTGTCGGTTTTCCCTACTTCAGCTGGTCCTAATAATGAGTGAAGGAGCGGTATAATTGATCAAAGCCGGTAATACTAAATGAGGAGATATTGAAACATTGTCACTGCAAATGATCGAAAAACAAAACTTCGAAAGACTTCCTAAGCGACTGAATTTTAGCGACTGGTCCCTTTGTCACCAATCTGCAGGTACCTGCTATAAATTTAACACTGAAACGCACCATCAATCAAACCATCCGTGGCTACTAATCTTACTTGGTTACGGCAATTCAACATTTTATAGCTTGCCTAAGGATTATTTCAAGATGGTTCTGCCTGAAAGATTTAGTTAGTGTTGGCGTGTAGTTTGTGGGAAAAAAATCTGTGTTGATCTTTATGGAACGTAATCGTACGGGCTGTCGTTTCGTAATTTCAGCGAGAGCAACGTTCAGAATGACGAGGTATTTTTCCTGCCTTTGGGCTCAGTTAAAAAAAAAATTGATGCCAAAGAATTCTCTAAGGTTTGGTTCATTTGAGTTAAAGTTGGGCAACGAAAAGGGTCGTTTTAAGGAAAAGGCATCGGCTGACTGTTTTCGTGAGGTTTTATTTGCAGAGCAGTGGAACTGTCTAAGAAAAATAGCAACATTCAAGTGTCCTGTTGTGATTGATCCGACATCTGTGTTCCGACAGATGCACACTATTGTTTATCTAGAGTTCATTTATTGAAGCGAAAAACTTAAAAACTAATTTGTCTGTTTTATGCCAGGCTGGTTTGCGCGTCCACAATTTATTTTCTCTAGTTTAAATCCCATTTCAGTTTTCTAAAGACTCTTTGCCCCCTCCCCCTCCCCGTGGGGGAAGGAGTTTCCTTTAAGGTAAACGGACATGTAGTGATTAATTTCTTTATTTCCCCTCATCATACAGTTCAGAGCAAATAACAGCTTGACAGAGAATGATCTCACTGCTACGGAATGCTTGTTTATCGCTTGATTGCGTGCCACCAGCCTCGCTTTCACAGCACAGGGAGGAACGAGTTGAAAGTCGGTGAACGCGTTTTGAAGAAATTAAACACAGCGGCTGGGAAGAGCTATCGGAGCGAAGATGATGGTGTGGTTGAGACCGACCTCGAAACGGAGATCGCTTATACTAGGGTGTTTTTTCTTGGTAACTTTGAGGACCATGTTGTTTGTGATTCAGTTTTACAAGGAAGAAACAGCAAGAACTCGAAAACCTGCCCGTGTGCAAACAGGTGGAGGTGAAACACCGGTTCTTCCGCCGGTTTGGAATAACTTAGTCAAGTGGAAGAAAGAAGACTTTCCTAAGAGGCAGCGAAAACGATTGATAATTTACTGGTCGGGAGTTAGGGGACACAAGGTGCCCGTTCAAAAGAGTGGCGTGAATCATACAAATTACTGGCCGTTTTTTTACGCGGGTCAACCTGGGGAATGCCCCGTACCGTGTGAGCTGTCCAACGACCAATCACGCGCTGCTGAAGCTAGTGCGTTTGTTGTTCACGCTAGACCACCGGATATTTCGAATCTTCCACCGATTGAAAATTTAGCTCCGTGGATTCTTCAAACTAATGAAAATCCTGTATACACACCGACACTGTATAATGCGCGCATTATGTCGCAGTTCAATCTGCTTATAAGCTATCGTCTGGACTCGGATTTTCCTGCTCCGATCTATCCCATGCCTGGATTAGATCCCCCTATACCATTTCAAAAGCGACAGGGAGATATTCTCGCCATCTTTTCTAAGTGTGAACCCGTTCGAACAGAATACATGCGGCAACTCATGAAATATATCCAAGTGGACTCTTACGGCGCATGCCTCAAGAACAAAGAGGGACTTATAGGATTGTACGGGAAAATCAATAACAAATATGTCTTCAAAGATCACAAGCTTGTTCTAACGAGGCATTACAAGTTCTCTTTGGTTTTCATGAATCAAGACTGTGATTACTTTATAGACGACAGACTTTACCATGCTCTCACAACCGGCTCGGTACCAATTTTCATGGGCACTGACAAAGTGGACGAGTTTTTACCTGGAAATCTCAAGAACTCTATTATCAAAGTTAGCGATTTTAAAAGCCCTAAAGAATTAGCAAAGTATCTTAAATATCTCAGTAATAACGAGACTGCGTATAATAAGTATCTAGAATGGAAATGGAAGGGACTAGGAAACATTTTAAACACAACTATTGGTCGTTGGTGGAAACCGCGGCACCCGCTTTTTTGCCAGGTATGCATGGCGCTGGCCAAGGGAAAGCTGCATCGCGGATTAAGGCTGGACTATTGCCAACCGCGCCGTTACGAGGACTGGGGACTAAAGGACCCTAACGCTGACATTCAAAATCACTATAGCACGTTTCTTTATGTTGGTTTTGTATTGTTTGTGATTGTTATACTAGTATCATGAAGTACACTTAGAAAGGCCCAAGTGAAATTTTTTTTAAAGATTTTCAATTCCAGAGAAAGCGTGACAATGAGAAACAAAGGGAAGCATAACTTGGAGCCGGCAGGATCGGACCCTGGTTGTTCGCCGCCTTAACAGTCAAAAGGGTTTATGGTTAATTTGCCCAAAGCAAGTTGCTCCCCTTAGTGTAAAACAAGTTCGCACGACCTTGATCAGTTCGCCCCAAAACCTTTCCACTCGTGTCCCTGCCACAGAACGAATTAATTCCCTGCTGAAATCATTTTTGCGACTAACACGCAATTTTAACAATGAAACTATAAGAAGGTTCGATTAACTAGTAAGAATGAGAAGAATGATGTGGGGGCGAACTGCTTGATGGTGGGGTGAACTTGTTTAAAATTAGGGACAAACGGGTGATTGGGAGCGAGCTTGCAATGGGGCGAATTCACCAGGTACCATAATAAACCTGGTAAAGGAAAGGGGGGTGGAATACTTTTAGACTTGCTTTTTTGAGACTCTGTTGTGATTTTATTTCGTAGCCCAGTTTTAGTTTTGATAGGCTCCGACGCGAATGAATGAGTTTCGGAGTGTAAACATTACCCTACAGAAAATTCTTCGAAATCGTAGGATGTTCGCTGTAAATCATACCATATACGTAATTCAGATAGAATTTACGAGCACCTTAAATGTGGTGACAAACTGAAGAAAGAAAGTGAAAAAGTTTTTTCTTGTGGCTTTCCTACTTATTTTTTGAAAAAAAAAACTCTCTCGAACAACGTTCATACCGCCAGTAGCGAAGGAATAATCATGATTGAAGCAAATATATGTATATATGCTTTGTGGTGAATTTGAATTTCGTCCTATCTAGGCAAGGGACTAAGCTAAAAATACTTTTCTGCCTTTTTTTTCCGTTTATTTTAATCTGATCACTCAGCCCGTCAATTGGTCTTCAGTGCATTTTGTTTTTGTATATTCCACCGCTCACTCCTCCCGAAGCCTGGAGAGAGTCCAGAGAGTAGTGGTAACAGTGGTAGCTATTTTTACCTCGTCATGACTTTCTGACTAATATGTTTTGGATCAATAGAAGATAAATCGAGCTTAAACTTGTAATTTTTAGGTGTTCGGTTATGTGCATATTGTTACTGCAGCTTAGCATGCTTTTTAAATAAAAATCGCCAGCTTCATAGCTTGTTTGGAGTTTATGAGAAAGTTGACTCAGCTTTTTAATGAACAAGAAAATCTATACTGCTTTCAGTCATAAGTAACAACCCATTTAATGTATCTTTACAGAGAACGGTTAAACGAGCAGACAGTGTGACCATTATTATCTATTTGTCCTGTTTTGACTGTCTAATGAATTTTTTTCTCCTCGATTATAGTCTGTATATTTCTTAAGCACTTCTTCTTTGTTGTTGGAATTGAAAGGACACTGGCAAGCTGTGTTATTAAGGGAAGGTTGAACAGTAAAACCAAAACATAGTAAAGACGGTCAGTAAAGTGTCATTCACTCTCTCGTTTTGGTGGAGAAAAAAGACTTGCGAGCTTTACTCTGGCTTCCTGGATATTTAACCGTTTTCAATACTGTTGTCCCCTTCGAGCTATAAGTGTTGGGTGGAGTTGAAGAGGAGAGAAGTATGACTACTTCGAACGAAAAACCTTTGACATTTAGGCAGATTTACAGTCGTCACTGTTTTAGAATTTTACAGTTGTACTAAACCCCTGTTTTAATTGCCTTTTCCTTATAGAGGCCGCATATTTAGATGTTGAACTTATCTGGAGCCATGATTATAATGGGCACCTACAGTTGTCAATACTTTTGTCTTCGAACGCGGTGCTTTTCAGAGGGAGGCGCTTAATTAAAGGAGTAGTATGCTTTAGAATCCATTCAAATTGATCTCTATGATAACTGACGCAACTGATCTCGCAATCAGTCAAAAGAATCTAGCGGAATCGCCCTTTGAACGAACATTTTACCCTCACCAATTGCCTTATGATCATGCGCATGCGTAAATGAAAGACTGATAATTGCCCCACATGGCATGGCTCATTCTGTTAATTTGATTTCCTCCGGTATACCATCTTCAGTACTTTGGTTTTCCTTCAGCACGCACAAATCTTTCGCCTTTTACTAAAGATTTCCGTGGAGGAGAACAACTGAATGAGTCTATAGACCAATTTTTTACCGCCCTGCCTTTCGGCGGGGCTCCAAACATATTATCACAACCGCAAATTCTAGCAGGGAAATGATTACCTGAGTTGGCGTTTTATCGCGTCACGGAAGAGAATCAGTTGATAAGTGACGAGACGAAAAAACGCCCATGGAGGTGTGAGAGGAGATAAGAGAGGAAGGGCTGCTTGTGTACTCGTGGACAAATGTAAGAGGGGAAAAAGGTGCAATTGCTTAGACGTTTCAATGTTTCAAACCAGATACAAACAAGCGTGTAAAGAATTTGATTTTATTTTTGTTCAAGGAATTGCGTGTTCTGCGTACTATTTATAAATTCTTACCAACAATTCAGAAAAAGAATGACTCGCAGTTCGGCTCTCAGTTTACCATTTATCCCTTTTCTTATGGGCCCCACTCTCTAACAGGCGCCCCCTTCTCCAAATGGAAAGCCTTAGAGATAAGGAGGCCTTCCCGAGGGCCTTTTTCAGCATTTGCAGTCTTACTTAGATCTGGGCGAGTTTATCAGAGAATACCGTAGGCAAGTTGACCTTAGGTGTCGGTGAGTTGTTTTTTTCGCAAGTCGACATGTCTGCGAGATAAAGGGGTAAGTTGTCCTCTCATCAAGTTCTAAGTGGACAGCCTTTTCTGTTTTTGTGTTTTTATCGGAGGGGAGTGTGGAACGAACGCGGAGCAAGGAAGCTTTATCCAACCCCATCGCTTAGCGTTCGTATTCGTTTAATTCTCACCGAAGGTTTAGCCTAAAATATTCGAGATAGACACAGTCAGAGGCTCGACACGCGACAGTAGGCTGACGATTAGGTGGTATATTATAGTGAAACGTACATGACGTAACCGTTTCCGTTGCGTGCTTCCACTGACTTTCCAATAGCGGGCGGTATAGACCGGCTGTTGTTGAAATTAGCGGCAAACCGCGATAGCGAATTGTTTAAATAATTATAATTTTGTTAGAAAAATATGTCAGATCAAAGCTCAGGGGGTCACGGAAAATTTGCAGGTGTACTGCTTCTCCTTCAAGGATTGTTGATAATCTTATTTGTAGTCTTCGTTGGCTATAGTGATGATCTTCTTCCAGAGACTGTTGCAGCAAAAAACTCGAAGGGCGGCACAACTGATGCGAAATATTCTGGTACGTTTATATTATGTGTCAATTTTTATTTTGATTTTTTTCGTCACCCTTTAACAAATTTTTCTCTCTCCAATATTAAGAGCTATCAGGAGAAAATTACAGGCTATGATGTGGCACAGTTATAATCTATGATTTTTCCTTTAAAGATAAATGTTATTTTTAAATATTTATTTTTAAGTAGTGTTCTATTCTTTTCTTCTTACACCAGTACTTTGTGTAATTTTAATTAAAAAGGTTGTATGGTGATTAGCATAACGTTGAATGTCCATTCTCCGATTTTTTTCTAGTTTCCTTTTTCTATTTTTTTTTCTGTTAAAAAAACTCTTACTAAGAAGTGAAAATCTACAGTGTTGGAGTGTTGCCTCCAATTATCTTTCTTGATAGATTTTCTGAATGTATTAAGTCCTGATTTTTATATCTTATTTAGTGTTTGAAGGACTACATTTCATGGTTTTCATTGGGTTTGGACTTCTCATGACATTTCTGAAGAAATATGGATTTAGTTCCTTGGGATATAATTTTCTTATATCTGCTTTGGTTATTGAGTGGTCTACAATGATGCAAGGATTTTTAGACATGAAGAACAGCAAAATTCAAATTGGATTAGAAAGGTAATAAGCAGGTTTTTGGTGATAAAAATTAATTGTTGATTAATTAATTATTGATCCTTCTGATCTGAAGATCTGAATGTCAATTCTCTACATTGTCTGCCATACTTCTCACAAATTTAGCTCTGAGAATTTTGTGTTAAATGAGATGACAACCCTTGGTTAACATTTTTATTTCTTCTCATTACCTTTCTGTGTAAAAATGTATCAATATTGTGAGGAGAAACTCTTTTTTGGTCACTCCCCCTGGGTGAAGGGGCTGATCTCTTTGCCCTTATTCATCCAAACCATGCTTTAAACAATTTTAAATCAAGCAGAAATATCACCAAAATAATCAAGGTTTCTAAAACTGTGACCCATGTTTAGACCATGTTTTAATAACCAACCTTTTAGGTCTATTTCTCATCTCAAGCCAGTTTTCTCTTGTCAATCAATTACTTATACCCAGCAAGAAGTAAATTACTAGGTACTTTACACCAGTTTTCTGTGCTCTGTTATATTTTAATGGATGTGGAAATTTGACAGTTTTCATAATTCTTATCTTTTAGACACTTGTGCACTTGACTGCTGAAGTTATTCAATATTAGGACTTCATACTTTAATTTTGTTTTATACCACTTTCTTTTTTTTCTTTTCTTTTTTTTTTCGGTTTTCATTGTTTAGCATGATCAAGGGTGACCTTGCTGCAGTGGCTGTGACAATCACCTTTGGAGCATTACTTGGAAAAACAAGTCATCACCAGCTGCTAATTATTTCATTTATTGAAGTGATACTCTACTCTGCCAATAGAGCAATAGGCACCAAGATTTTCCATGCAGTGGATGCTGGTAGTTCAATGTATGTTCACACATTTGGTGCCTTCTATGGTCTTGCTGTGTCACGCATATTATATAAAAGCAAAATTGTGGCTCATGAGAAAGAGACCTCCAGATATACATCTGATCTTTTTGCCACAGTGGGTAAGTGAAAAAATCTTGGGAGATACATCATGATACAAACTTACAGCATTGGACAGATGTATTAAATCTTAGCCCTTGTACTCCCATAAGTGACCATGACAGAATTTCTCCTTACAATTTCAATACAACAATATCAAGCCAAGAAGTGATGAGAGTGAGGATAATTATTGATCTCATATCAAATTCTCCAAACTAATAACATAAGAATTGTATTGTAGATATTAAGGAGAATTACCAGTGAGATTTTGCAAGTGAAATGGTTATCCTGCTGTAATGAGTTAGGATATTTTGAAAAGTCAGCACTGGATATTACTGGAACATTCCTCTTACTGATGACCTAACCAATGACTTTCCCAAATAGTTTTATACTTTTCAAGCTAGAGGTATACTCATGAGAGAGTTTGGATTTTGGGACCTGTACTGGAAAGGTTGAGGGAAACATGAATTGTATTTTTTATAAGATCTAATACTGGATCCATTTTAATTTAGACGTTTCACTCTTTTTTTTTATTGTATGGAGGAAAGTGTGGAATTAGTTTGGTGTAACTTTTAATTTTTATTTTAGGAACAATAGTCCTATGGGTTTGTTGGCCAAGCTTTAATTCTGTGCTTGTGGAAGGAGTCGCAAGGCAACGAGCCATTGTTAATACATACTATGCCATCATAACCAGCTGTGTTACTTCCTGTGCATTCTCAGCCCTAATGACAAAGGGATCAAAACTAAGTATGGTGTGTATTATACATTTCCTTTTGTTTGCCAACTGCATTTATTACATTTAATGAAAAAAATGATTCACTGAAAATAATGGTTCCAATATCTAAATTCATTTGGTACTTGGTATTATTCATTCAAAATGTTTACCCTACTTAATCTATGTTCATTGGAAATCTGAATTCTTGATTTCACTGTGACCTTTATCAGAATTACAATGTTTGTTATTTCCCACGACAGAAGCTTGTAGACACTAGTTTCTTTTTAATTTTGAATAAAAACTATGTACGTGCAAGATTGTGATTATCTCTCATTGATGGCCTTGCTATCCTAAGTGGATTAGTGTGACTCCATGAAAAGTCTCTTGAGATGGCTTTCACACTGCACTGGAATATTTGAACATCTTTTGGATGGATGCTGTGATTTGGGAACCAAGCAAGTTGTTTGCTCACTGATTAGAAAAGGGGTCTTTGGGTTTACAAATTAGAGAACAAGGATCTTAGTTTATTCTTTGACTCATGTGAGTGATCAAGATCTAATTTCCTCTTTCATCATTGCTCTGTCAGACAGAATTCATCAGCTGGTCATATTGTGTGGACATAACTTGTAACAAATTCCTAGAAATTGCTGAGAAAGAAAAGTTGTCTGTAAAGGGAAATTAAAGGCTCAGTCCCAAGCTTAGTTTTGAAATTAGATCTTTTGGTAATGGCTTTTTATCATCTCTTCCATGTATTTACAGGTTCATCTCCAGAATGCCAGCCTGGCAGGGGGCGTGGCTGTGGGTACAATTGCACCCATGATAATTCAGCCATGGGGTGCAGTGCTGATAGGGTTTGTAAGCGGGGCTTTAAGTACCTCCAGCTTCAAATACACTCAGGTATTAAGAAGACAATTTTACTATTTAGTCTTTGATATGTGATCTTTTTCCAAATAAATAAGTTTACAAATGAATTAATTTCTTCTTTTATTGCATCTTGATACCGGTCAAATTCACACTTTTGCATCCATTTTTCTACATTTTGTTTTTCAGCCCTGGCTCATAAGAAGGCTTAAAGTTCATGACACTTGTGGAGTTAACAGCTTGCATGGATTACCAGGGATCTTGGGAGCTGTAGCAGGAACCATCTCTTCTAGTATTGCTGGCTATAAACAGTACAAAACAAGGTAAGGATCAAAATGGAACTTCTCCCTATAATATCCATGCATTATGCAGTAAACAGGTATTGAGAAAACTCTAACTTATCAGGTAGAAGTTGTTATTTTGATCTAACACTAGATTTTCATAACTGATTTACAAGGAAATGTGTAGCAGCTAGATCTGGGAGTTAAAGGGTTAAAACAATTTGCTGATTTATGACGTGTAATGGTTACTCAGGGATTAGTTCAATTAATATATATTTATTCAGGATAGTTCAAGTTAAAGGAAGATGTAAAATTAGCAACCTTGAATTTCATGTGGTAAATACTGCATATGGTATTTTGTTTTCACGGATTTGACCAAACAAATATCATCAAGAGGTATTTTTTATGCACCCAGTCCTTCAAAATTGATGAATTTAGAGTTTCAACAACTCATTATTCTGTTAGAAATATTTGTTTGTGCATTCATTTTAACAGTGCCATGAAGGATTTAAGCACAGCTGTACAAGATACATGAATTTGTGAATTGAGTGTATAACAAAAGAAAATAAGAAACTAACAAAGATAAAAATGAATTGTCATATGTATGAAAATACACAATGGAAAAATGTGCAATATTGCATGTTTCTTGATGGTTTCTTCACAAGTAAAACCTCTGTTGTATACTAAAGTTAAAATATTTAGACCGTTGATATAATGAGGATGAGGCAAGTTGAGTTGAATTTTTCATAAAGTTGCTAATTCCACAGTTCAGTAGTTCATACTAAATTTGTAGAATAGTGAAGGTTTTTTTGGCCTCTTGCAGTTCCTACTTCATATTTTTCAGGTCTAACAATCTTCATCATACTTAATGTTTTGCCTATTTTCAGTCTCTATACAGTATTTCCTGCAAGGGCTCCCATTTTCAATAGTACCCAGTACTTTGAGTTGGTGAAATTTGACCCAGATGCTGTGGATGGACTAGGGTGGAGTTCAGGGAAACAAGCAGCATTTCAGTTTGCTGCACTAGCTGTTACATTAGCTTTAGCAATAGCTGGTGGACTCCTAACAGGTTAGTTGTTGCCCTTAAGCTATGATACCAGTGGATAGCAGTATATATAACCAGCTACACTATATACAATACATTGTCAAGCTAAGAAGAAAAGAGAGAAATAATCCTCACTTGTTGAAAGATACTATCTTGTGTGCAATAGCAGCAGGGTAAAATTTCTCTCTTGTGGTATATGTATCAGTCTCATGGAGCCATGTCAAGCATATTCAGACAGAATATTCAGCATCAGGAGAAATTTTAAAAAATTAGTTATGTCATGCATATGGATTGCTCCCACATTCATACCTTGTTTGACATTTTTCACAATGCAGACAGCCTATTAATCTTAAGGCTGATGTACCTCTCTCTGACTCTCTTATCATGTGAAATTTTAAACAAGAATTTACTTGGTAATTTTTTACAGGTGTCATTGTCAAGCAACCATTTTTTGATCCTTTAAGGGATGAAGCATTGTATGATGATGGAGAGTTTTGGGAAGTAAGTGTCGTTATTTCAGTTTTTGAAAGGGCAAGTACATGTACAAAGCACCATGAGGTGCAACATACTTGATGTACGCAATCTAAAAACAAGATAATTCGATTGATGGGTGATCAAAAAAAAATGAATGAGGAAGACTTTTCCTATCCCCCTTCCCATGAACTTCCTCTCCACTCTAAGAGGTTTACTCCAAAATACTGGCTCTTGTTGATTTATGGTGGTCATAATTTTGTTGTTCAGTTAATGAACCTTAATGGATGGAAAGTGGTTGGAATGTTTAAAAGAAGCCCTTATGTTTAATATAAAATAATGGCACTCTATGCACTGGATAGACATTTATAGGCAGAATAGTGGCATCTTTCCTTTTGGTAACTGTGTTAGGAGTTTCTGTCGGTAATTGTGAAGAAAAGTTCCTTGAAAACACATGTCAGCCAACAGTTGGCTGACTGGCCACTGATGAGTAACCAACAGGACACTGACAGGTTACTTATTGGCAATAAACCCAAGAATTAATGTCCAAAACAAAACTTTTACTGTACTATATATATGCTTTTAAATATTGAAATAAGTCTACATATGTTGAATCACTTTTGAAATGAGATGAGACCTCCCTTTTTACTGACATCATTCCTGCTGGAATCTCTCAAAGGAAGAAGTGTTTTGAAACACTTCTTAGAGATTTGCAAACCTCTTTTTTGTGATGTATGTATGAATAATGGAGTTTCAACTTATGACTTTAACAGGTCCCTGCTGATTTTCGTCCATTATCTGGCACTGTATATCCTCCAAGAGAAAATGGTGCAGTGCAGGCAGAACAAGCTGAATCATTAGTCCAACAAGAAGAAAATGAATCAGAAGAACAGGCTGATGGTCAAGTGTAAAAACAATATTAACATGCAATGATTATCTTTTATTGGTACTGATTGAGTACTTCTGTAAAATACAGGTACTTATTGTAATTTGTAAGGAATATTTTTTCCAATTTATATAAGATTTTGTATTAAAAAGAAATTATTAGACAATCAATAGGAAACAGTTTTTTCTCATTCAACATCAAAGAAATTCCATTATCAACTACTGAAAGAATATTACATTCCTTTTTGCAATCTGTGAAAGTGACATGTAAAGGCTGTTTGTTTTTCCTTCAAATGAAAGACAGGATAAATGACTTTGTTCTTTAACTCTGATCTGGTTTTTAACCCTCCCTTTTAGATGTTATACATTTCATTGTGAATTAAGGGAGAAATTGGTGTGAGATCAGTGTAACTAGAGTTAATACTTTGGCTTTTTTTTTGCAAGCACTGAAAAGTGTGTGTCAGTTGTGAACTAAAATCAAAAAGCCCTCAGCTAAAATGTTTAGCAATTCCTATTACTTATTTTCTGGGTAACGTCTGTAGAGGATAAATAACGTATTTATCACATCCAAAAGTGGAAGGTGTTCATCTTAGTTCTATATTCCCATGTCTAAGGTATAACACTCAGAATCGAAGAGACTGATTGACATATTTCCATTTTAAATAGACCGAATTTTGCATTGATGAACAAGTCAAGTAGGGGATGCCATTCCCCTCCCTTAACCCCTTACACCCCTGACATCAGTTTGCATATTCTCTATACTTTTCTCTACACATTTCCTACAGAGCTGACAAGGAGAATTTGTTTAACAATCAAGAGCTTCTTGGGTTGGTGATCATTTCCTTTATCCTCATGACCTTATTGTGTAATCTGGGGGTGATTTCGTAATGAGAAATTAGATGCTGTTCACTCTCAGGGGTCAGAGGGTAAAAAAGAAAAAGGCCTCATGGGGTTTTTAAGGTTTCATAAGGGATGGTAAGGTGTATGTTAGGCCAGATTATTTAACCTTACAGATCTCAACAATTTAAGAATGATAAACAGACCCAAAAAACCATGAGGATTCAGTTTGGTTAAAAGTCACTTTTGTCCATATATATTTTACTAGAGAAACCATTAATAAGGAGAATTTAAGGGAGTTTTTTTGCAGGTATTTTCACTCATAACAAAGTGTTTGCAGACTTAAGGAGACTTTAAAGTTGTTGTCTAGCATGTTTCATGCTGAACAAAAAAATTATCTATCACGCATAAAGTAGAAATTCACAGATCTTTTGAAATTTTAAGAATATTGTGCTTATTTAATTGGCCAAATATTTATCATAGGATATGGAACCATTTTAACTTTCAGGTAGCAGGGAACCCAAATTGAAAATATTGAAACTTAACTAAACAATATAAATAAACAAACATTGGATCATCTGTTCATGTTTGGCTGTTATATTTTCCATGGTATTCCTCTCTTAGTCCTGTGGAGGTCCCCTTGTAAACAAGTTTTCCTTTTCATCCCATTTTGGCGTTGACTCTTTGACAGGATCGCAATGCGGAATTTTTTTAGGGATCAGATGCTTGAAAGGGTAGGCATCCCGTTTCATTATGTCCAGATCTGGGATTAGATCGGCAATTGAAAGAATATGATGATTCAAAGCTGCAGTGCACTCTTCCTCAGTAGCAATGTGTCAGGTTCATTTATTTCCTCTTGAAAGAAAATTGATATAATATGTACAAGAGGGTCCTGGAGAAGCCTCACCCTTAGGTTTCTTGCAAAGTATGAACCCAGGACCAAGGGGAGGTGGGAAGGGAAGGCTCGAAGTGGAGGCCCCATACTGAGCCCTAACATTGAAAGTTGTATAGGTGTGTTCTTCTTGTAGGTAAACTTTGATTGAAAATGCCCCTGATGGTTGCTCAAACGTTAGCTTTACTATCTTGGAACTAGCCTGAAACAGACCACGCACTGCCTTTATATGCATGTAGGCGACGGGCTCTTGAAACAGAACAGAATGGCAAGCAGCGAAAGCTACGTGTGCTGCTCGCTAAACGCGTGTTGCCGCGCAATCTCGCGTGCTGCATGCTTGTCAGACGAAAAACCCTGGGAACTAGTTGAACTTTATCTAATATGGCGACGTGGCTGCTGTCGAAAACCGTGTACAACTGAATGAACTTACTATTTTGACTCCAAAAGATGACGGAAAACGGCACCTTGAGCATCTTTTGCCGTTGAGTACATTTTTTCTCTTGTTTGATGGTGTTTGGATGGAAAAAATGATGTCACGGCAGCTGAAAAACTCAGAAATGGAACCATGTGTTACACTGACACTCAAATGAGTTGTCTCAGGTAAGCGCGGATGAAATCGTGGTTTAATTCTCCACTTTTGAGGTCTATAGAACGAATTGTATATATTTACTTCTCGAGTTTAAGTGATATGAAATGCAGAGATACATATAACTGTGTTAAGTTTTGGCTCCGCCTCGGTGTAAGAACCTGTCAACTTCACGAGGATGTTAACGAACGTGGAAAACAAAGAAGTAAACAAAAAATTGAAATAAATAAAAATTGCATTAGGGCCTTGGAAAATAAGTTTAAATTAACAAGGGAATAATTTGAAAACACACTCAACTGGTTATTGCTCTAAGGATATGATAGACCTTATAAGGGCCAATCTCCGTGTCGAAGGAAAAGCTTTGTAAAATATCGAAACGTGCAAGAGTTATTTACAAAAATATTTTTTCAAACTGAATTTTTAGTCCACTGAAGTGTGAATAGCCAGTTATAAGTTGTCAACCCAAATGACTCCTGAGATGTGTTTGGTGACAAAATATCCGGTAAAATTTCCGCACAGCCCCATACTACATTATGCATTCAGTTCTTGGGTAGAGAAAACAATGACAAAAATAATACATTGTCATTGGGAAAACAGATTTGTTTTACAATAGTATGGGGCTGTGCGGAAATTTTACCAAATATCCTGGTCCTTGAATTTCAGTTGCACAAACATCTCTTGATTTCACTTGCATGAAGTGATCTTTGCTAATATATAGATTTAGCCAAGCCTAAAAGCAGTGCTCACATTTTTTTTCCCGCATGTCTCAAGGGCACAACGCCTTGCCCCAGCCAGGACTAGAATCCAGGTTGTCTGACTCAGAGCCCAGTGCACTGACCACTGGACTACTGTACAAAGCCATGGTGTTGGTGTGCCCGTGGTACAGTTGACCACACATGTTAAAAGTAACACCTTGTACGGTCGTACGGTCTTACAGTCGTACAGTCATACATCCAAATTTTTTTGGCTTGATGGGTAACTACTATGCTCTGCGAGCTCTGCTATAATCTCTGTGTATTTTGCAAGACCATGAATAGGAAAACATAAAAAAGAGAGGAGTAAAAGTGAAGACTAGCTGTTAAAGTATTTAAGAAATTGGATGCGAAATGGCCAAAAAATGTCACTTAAACAGATAAGGACCTACAGTTTATGTATACCTTGCTACTTGCTCTCAATCAGCAACCATCAGTGAGTTCTGGCAAGCTCAAGCAGCTCACAGGGTGAAATAAGAATTGCCTGCGAGCAGAATTGAAGTAAGATCCATCAGGCACAACTCCTAGATAGTTTCAACACAATGCCTCTGTGTTTCTATGGGCGGTCTGCATTTCTACAAATCAGAGTGTTGTCATAACTTGACATGTGGTCACTCCTAAAGAGGTGAAATATTTTAAAAATTTTGGGAGTGAAAAAATATTAACTGGAACTTTATTTTTTAAGTGTGTCTTTTTTTAACAAATTAACAGAGCAAAAACTTAAAGGATTTCCTTGGTGTTTGGCAGTCCTGCTGACACTGTACCCTGCAACAGCTCAGCCACTGGGCTAGGAATTTATGACCGGAGGGTGGCTGAGTGTCAACCAGTGGGGCTCAGGAGAGGGTGCAGTTGAGACTGTAAATTTATGTTGGCTTTTTTTTTTTTGATGAGGTGCAGTGTTCATGAAATCTATCTACATTACTTGGGTCTTTTCCAAACAATTATTTGTAATTTACCAGGGACTTTGCATGCAAAGGGCCTATGAAAATTACATAAACTGATGTGGGGTGATGCTCTTGCAAAAGCTAGGGGTAATTCAGGACAGCATCTCACCCCTCACAAGAAGACTTGTAGTGAAAATCTGTATGATTTAATTTCTATTTCTTTTCTTAGATGGGATAAAGAGTACAATGCACAAACAAAGGAACAAAGAGAATTGACCTCCTCAGCAGTGCATTAGAAAGTGGTATGTAGTTATTCAGGTGAGAAGACTAATAAGATCACTAATAAGATCAACTTGAGTTATCATGGGACCAGACAAATGTAATGTTAACTTTAAGTGAATTGTAAACTTGTTGAAAGTAAATTGTTACAATAGAAAATTGCAGATCAAGGAAAAAAAATTAGATTCTGCAGATTACAAACTACAATGTGACAGAATTGGACAACACAAAGTCCTGTTACCTATTAATCAAAACTATGACAGAATTTGAGAAAGAAACTAGACATTGGCTGTATGTTTTCATAAGAAAACAACTGTTAACTGGGTAAAATGCATGACACAAGGTCAACTATTTGTACGCAAACCAGGCTGGTGATAACCAATCACATTCTAGAATTTTGTCATAGTTTTGATTAATTATTTTATTGGACTGACTGAATGCCTGACTCTCCAATTGTTTGACTGACTCATGGAATGAAGTTTATGGAAGTTTCACCACACAGCAAGTTTTCCCCTACAAGATCACCCCCACCAGGATAAGTTTGCCCCATCAATTAAAAGAAGTTTGCCACTTAGCTATTCTTCCCATCAGTTAGCATTGACAGATATTCTGACCAACTGACTGACTGACTGACTGACTGACTGACAGACTGACTAGCTGACTTGACTCACTCATTCACTTACTTACTAATTGACTGACAAATCAACTGACTGGTGGAATGTCTTAATGTCGTAATGACCAACTGATCACTTGTCTGATTGAGTGATGGTGAGACCTGGTGACTGACCAACTGACAACTATTAGAATGTTAGTCTGGCTGATTGACTGCTAGACTGAATAACCTGACTAAGCGGCTGCCTGGCTAATGATGGACTGAGCAGTTGACTGACTAAGTTAGTGGCTGACTCCATGACCAAGTGACTGATTGGTGAACTGATTTGGTGACTGAATAACTGACTGACTCACTAATGGACTGACCGATTAGTTTACCAATTGGTAGACTGACTGTAAAACTGAGACATACTGAATGACTTGTCTAAGAGACTTGTGGACTGATTGGCTGACCAAATAAGTGACAGTCTCTGTGTCAGACTGGCTAACTGGGTGGCTGGTCTAAAGACCACTGTTGGACTGGTAGCTGATTGGATTGCCTGTTCCAGGCGTTCTGTCAGTAAAACGATGTGCCATGTGAAATTAGCTTGATAGAAAATGAATGAACAAGGTTAGGGTCAGGTCCCACATTGTGCCATTTGTTAAATTAGCTCTAATTTACTTACTGAATGGCTGGAACAGGCTACTGGTTGAATGACTGAGTTACTGGCTTTCGTGAATGGCTAGATCACTGACTGACTGACTCTGATGAACTAACTGACTGTTGAAGTTATACTTTGCTACTCTTCTTTGATGGGTTGCAAGACCTTTACAGGTTCCCAAATATTTGTTTGTTTGCTTTATAGGTATCACCTTGTCATATTGAAACATATTATGGGTATCACCTTGTCATATTGAAACAGCCAATAATTGGAAGTCACCCTGTCTAAGAGCAAAATGAAAGTGGCTGTTGTTCAGGTGGAGTGTCTTCCCTACTTCAATCAAGCTCAACTCAGAGGTATTGTGGGTGAGTCCAGACATCATTACTAAACCAATATTAATAGTACATTTTACAATTGACCAGTCTAATATTCTCTGACTAACTGACTGACTTATGGTGAACCAAATGATAGAATGACTGACTGACTGACTGACTGACTGAGAGGTGAATTTTATGACTGAATAACAACTGAATGAATCACTGTGTGATTGTCAGACTGACTGACTCACTAACTGGATTGCTGGTTGGCTGACTTTTGGACTGACTAATCAGTTAACCAACTGGTGTGCACTGTTTGATTGACTGAATGATTGACATGTGTAAATTAGTGTCCAGCCAAGATACTTGTGGACAGACTTACCAACAGAGTGACTAACCTGCGAAATGACTTTGTGAGTGACAGACCCACTAAGTAGGTTGAGTAGGCTGACTGACTGAATGATTGATTTACTTATTGAGAAACTGACCAAGTAATGGACTGACCGATTGATCAATCAACTGACCTGAAAATAGACTATCTGACTGACCTGTGGACTGAGCAGCTGACTGTAAGAGTGACTGACTAATTGGTGACCAAGTAGTGGACTGACTGACCAAACAAGTTACTACCTGTTTAACTGACTTACTGACTGGATGGCTGGTTTACTGAGTGACTGATGGACTTACAGTCAAGTCAATGGAATAGTGGACCGTTTGGATGAGTGACTTACTAGGAGACCAATCAAGGGACGTTAAGACTGACTGGCTGACTGATTGACTGACTTGCTGACTGAGTGACTGACAGACACACACTGACTGGCTCAATGGCTGACCAGTTGACTGACTGTAAGACTGTCCACTGACTGACTTACAGTGTAACTGACTTAGAGACTAGCAGTCTGGCTCGATTGGATGACTGATTAGCTGAGTAAGGACACACTGACAGACACACTGACTGGCCTGATGAATGGCTGAGTGACTAATCACTTAACTTGCTGCTGGACTGGCTAGCTTACAGTGACTGCCTAATTGGAAAGTTAAATGAATATTGCTGGGTAAGTTTCTAAAGAAACTGGTGCTGTGTTGGTTGGAGAGTATAACAGGGTAATTTTAGTATTATCAACTGAGTTGATGACATAAATTGACCACCATTAAAGAGTTTTAAAGCTGACGTTTCAAGCATTAGCTCTCCGTCTGAGCAACTGGAAAGTTGCCCAGATGACTAATTGACTAGGTCTGCATTTGATTGAGTTACCAATTTTTTTAGACCAAACGACTGGCTGATTTACCAACTGTGGACTGACTGGCAAATAAACTCACTGATTGACGGACTAACAGACTGACCCACTGACTGACAACTCACTTACTCACCAACTCGCTAACCATCTATCTGAATGACTTACTGCCCATTTAATTGTCTGATGCACCAACTTACTGACTGACTTTTTTAACTGAATGATTTAAAAAATTTATAACAGTTAATGGTTGGGTGAAGACAAGAGGATTTTAATGAATTGCCAAATTTTACTTAACTTGGTAAGTTTTAACTTAAGTGTGCGAAAATACGATCAATTTAAAAATTAATCAGCCAGTACATAATTGACCAACTCAAGTATAGTGAATGAAAATATAGAAAATGAAACAAAAAATGGCGGGAAAATTTTAAGATATGGTTTTAGGAGTGATGGACAGATGAATTGACGAGATTATTGGGTAAAACAATGCAGACCCCTGAGGATTCAGTAAGGCAACACCAAGGAAGACGTTTATTGAAAAATGATCTCGCGAATGGCTGGACGTGTTTACCGTCTCTTAAAGCACCACAAATCAAATTCAGCATAATTTATGTGAGCGTCATTTAGTTCCGAGTGGAAACTTAAGTAACTTGCTACCTGGGTCTCTTTTTGGAGGAATTGTTAGTGTTGTCAACGTGGATTGAAAGTTTCAAGCTAATAGAGTTGATGTTGTGATTACAGGTTAGAAAGTGATGCATCAAGAAAACCAAATCCTTCAAGTTAAGATGTTGCGATGTACTCTCGACCATGTAACATATTCACTCTGAAAAATTGTTGAGAATTAATCCACATTTCAGATCGCGCTGTAATCGTAGCGGGTGAGTTAGGGCGTTCAGCCAAAGAGAGGTTGATCCTTTCCCCTGATTAACTTAACAAAGTAAAAATACCCCTGCTGTTTGGCTTTGAAGATATTGTTGGAAATTTTTTGGTCCTGCTCTTTTCGCTTCAGTGTTCAATCCGACTAGTATCATACAACGGTTATAGTATTAAAGAGTCGTTTCTAAAATTATCTCGAAGTGCTGTGCACACAATCAGGAAGCCAATTGCTTGTTGATAACTTTTTCCCCGTAAGGACATGTTTTAGCTTTCTTTTCTTTTCATTGTTAACTAGTAATTTAAATGAATAATTTGAATTCGATTTTAACATATTTGTATCTGATAACTCCGCAGGAAGCTTTCTATGAGCGACGTTTTACTGATATTGTTTAATAGAATGCGTTAATAACCCAATGATAAAAAGAAAAAAAAACTTGAAAAAGAAGAGACACAAAATACAGAGAAAAAGTACATTTATTGCCTTCTAGTTGAGGATCATCCCGTCACCAATTGTACAAAAGTACCGTTGTAATTTTATCAAACGGCGACTTAAAATCCCTTTCTTCGAGGTTTTACTTTTCTTGAGATTTTACTAAGTGTTTTGATTACTTGTAGTTCGTTGAATCATTGCTAGAAGTGGCCATCTAACTATAGCTTTTTCCTTTTACTTTTAGTGTCGAGAGCGTCAAGATGGTTTCATAACAAGGAACATAGACGAACAGGAAGTTGATAAAAGAAGGAGAGCAGGACGTGTACATTTACTTCGAGTTCATTTACTCTGACACTACCACATTAGAGTAGGAGACAGTTTTCGTAGATTGTGTTATTTATTCTCGTCTGAATATAATAGAATAAATCTTCAAACGTTGCTATCTCTAACTGTTGTCTTAAAGTTGAAGGAACAAAAGTGGACCAATTTCCCCGTCCACCATCCCCCACCACACCCACCTCTTACAGACAGTTTTCTTAGTGTTTGTAAAAGCTACCTACCTTGTGGTAATAATATTTATTTCAAACGCATGCGTTTAGTGTAACAAAATGTTTGTCTAAATACACATGCGTATTAAAAGATGTTATTACCACAAAGTAGACAACTTTTATCAATATTTAAAAAACTTTTTATAAGAGGTGGGTGTGGTGGGGGGCGGTGGCGGATCGACCCCCAAATTTTGGTTCCTTCCAAGGGTGACATTTTTCCTTGATGTGGTCATTTTTCACGTTTATCCGTCCTTCTTTTGAAATCTGTGAAAAGATAAAGAGTTCTGTTCTTGTTTTGTTGTTCTGGTTCCACAAATGATAGGTTCCCCGAGATTTAAATTAGCGAGCTACTCACGAAATCTTGTCGCTCAATTAAACTAGCAAACTTGCCGAGTTTGTTTCGGATGTTTATATAGAAAACATCACAGTAACTTGCAAGGATTCTTTCTGGTCAGCTTTCTTTTTTTTCTGGAAGAAAAAAGATAATGGTGTGAATAAAAAGTGAGCTAGAACTCGACATGAACGCCTTAAGAATATCTATCAACCGTAAATAACTAAAATACTCTACATTGAAATGATAATGCTTTCCTGTACTGTAGTAACGAGCCGTATTCAATAAAGTTTTCTTTATCTTAATAGCGGAGCATAAAAGTGTCTCTTGGTTTGATTGATTGCCTCTTAACCACATTAAAGGAGATGAAAAGTCAGATCCTCCCAAAAGTAGCTTATTCATCAAAAGCAACGTTTTTTGGCGACAGACGGCCGCTATCTCGAATAAAATCATAAAGCCCATTAATTTCTTCCAAAATCATAAAAAACCACGACATTGGTGGCAACGGAATATTTTGGTAATGTTGTATGTAGTATTCGTCATGGAAAAAAAATCAATACATTTCTCAAGATATCCACACTATGGTTAAAAGAGGCGCCAAGTCACAGTTACCGTTTCTTGAAAAATTTAGCCCATATTTTTTTTTGGAAACCTTTTCGAGTCGTCTCTATTCTTTGTCATTGCTACTCCTAATAAGTTTATATTCATTTCATCAAATTTTTAATATGTTTGGTGTTTATCTAAATTACTCAATTGAAATTCTGTAGTTTGATATAAATTCGAGACAATTTTGGGCGCTGCTAAAACACGATTCAAAATACCTAGACGATGCCCCTTGATTTATATCCCTTATAATGAAACTAGTGGAAATAATGAACCCAAGGGGGGGTCCCTCCAAGTTCTTTGTTACTGGAAGTAAACTAAAGCTGAAAGTACAGAGACTGAAGTGCTATATTGACACACTAACGACCAACGACTACACTAACGACAAGATTGACAGGAATGTGAAGACATACGATCTTAGAGATTGACCCATCCTTCAAATCGCCCTAGCTCTATCGATTACTCTTTATCTCCTCCAACAGTCCCACACTGGGCGACTCGATCTGCCAATCGCGCCATCGCATACCACATCCCGGCGATTTGATTCGCCGGTATTTACCAGAGGGGTGCGTTACGGAGACTAGTCCAAAACGGAAATAATTCGCCTCCCAACAATTGGTAACTTACAAAAGACCAATCGTCTTTGAACCTATTTAGAGCTGTAAGGTATTCCTTGGCCCATAATCTAAAGACCTATTACCCTAATATATAACGTCGAGATGTCTAAATACTCCCATAATGTTTAAAGTCTCTGAGTTTTCTCGGTTTTTTATTTTGAACTCTCAACTGAGCAGTGAGAAGGAACTGGCATGCAGAAAAATGAATCATTCTTCTGTAAGCAAGTTGCGAGGTGACATGTCTGTTGTGGGAGATTTCGTAAAAGAGTTGTGCTTGAGCCGTAAAATGTCCAAATTTAACTCGCAGCGTTTCAAGTACTTGTCGTTTCAGTCCCCCATCTTCCCCCCCCCCCCCCCACCGGCTCCCCTGCGAAAAGATTCAGTAAATTGTACAGTAAATTCTGATCGGCCGGTGTAAAAAAACCAGCTCTGTCATGTACCTAAAAAGATCCGTCAATTGTAGCGAGGAAACCCAATAGAAGCTTAGAGATAATGAAATAAGTTATTATGTTTTTGTTGTTTGCTTCTGCTTAAATTGGATCATGCAGCAATCTGAAAATAACGAAGTATTTACCATTAGCATCTCCTGAAGTTGATCAGCGTCCAGTTATCCGCTACGATTCAAGACGTTTGAATATAGGTGATATTTGGACTCTTCCTTGGGTCCTGTGTCAAGAATGAAAGAATAAAAAATTTTTGCAACAGCATTATACTACATGCTACAACAGCTTGCCCGTGTGGCACAACATTTTTGTAGTTTCTTAATTCTTTAACTCCCAAGATCTCATTAGTAATTCTCCTTACTGTCTGCCATATAGTTCTTGTGATGCTAGCTTGGAGAATTTGGTATTGGACCAACTAATAATCTCCTAGTCAATATTTTTTTTATTCTCACCACTTGTCTGCTTGATATTGTATTGAAATTGTAAGGAGAAATTCAGTCTTAGTGAAGGGTTAATTTTGCAGTTTTTGTGGTTTTCTCCCGTGATCATAAAAAAAGAGTTTTGGCAAAAAAAAAAGTACCGCACAAGTTTTTCCTGAAAAAAATTTACTCCACTAGATAAACCCAAATGCTAACAGCAAGTGATAATGAAGTCAATTCATCATGGAGCAATCAATCACTTTAGGAGCACTTGATATAATTGTAATAGAATGACAATGTTTACTGTATTTTGTTTTACATGTGTGTAGTGTTGTGCATGGTATTGTTTTAAAATCTGTATCTCAATTGCACATCCTCGATACAATCCAAAATCCCCAGCCCAGTCCACTAAATTGTTAAAAAAAGAAAAATCTGAAGCCTTGGCCTTAACTTTTGAAGCATAATATGCAGCAATTTTTTAAAAATTCTTGAGTAATTTGGAAACAAAGAGGAAATGTCTACAAATTTGTACATCTCTGAGCAAACTCTATCTTGATCTGCCAGCCTATTTGCCTTTTTCTTGATATATTACAGAAACAGGCCTTTGACTAATTTTGCTTACCTTCCTGAATAATTGATTGCCATTTCCTCGTAGAGGATCAAAGACATCAACCTTCTGTCTGTTTCCTTTTTATCATCATTTTATCTTTGCTCCTGAATGAATATAAACAATGATGCACTTCCACTAAGTTTTCTAGAACAATTTTGAGAATTCTACTAGATAGTTTAACATAAAGTGATATGAACATAATATGATTATTGAGTAAAATTATCAGCCAATGGATAATTCAACTCTTTTCCCTGAAGATATCCCTGAAGAAATGTAGGGAGCTGCTATTTTTTGCTATAGTCTGTCACACAAAAAACCCTCTTCTTTCTGTTGTTATCAGACACCATATTCTGGTAGGGAGTCAATTAGTTGGTAAATCACTCAATCAGTTGGTTTGTCACTCAATCAGTCTGTCGGTCAATCAGTCAGTCAGTGAGTCATTCTGTCAGGTTTCAAAAAATATTACTGCCCCTTGCAGATAGGAACTTGATGATAAACAATCAGTTATACTCCATGTCAAGGAGACAAAATCTATGATATCTATTATCCAGAAGCTGATAATTTTTACTCAGTAATCATATCATGTTCATAAGTTTACCTCAAACAAAATGTTTTTATGATGCTTTGTTTTTTTTACACTATTTTTTACTCTCAATATTGATGCTTGTCCCTGGAAAGCTTTTCTTAAGGAGCTGAGGAAAGAGTTAAGTGATAAAAAATCACCTGAATGAGTTTACTGACCTTCAAATAACAGACTGTTTTGAATCTCCGAAGAGGTTCATAATTACTCCGTTGGAAATTATGACGGCAGAGATCACTTAAGTATATATTTATGGAAGTTCCAGGGGGATGGGGATTACACAAAAAACCATCCATGGGGGAAGGGAATTTCCAGGAAGTACCTTAACCTGTCAGTTGTAATTCATGTAGCCTTAGATGGATGAAACCAGTTTTGTAATTCTACTGCATGTCTAAACATGAATTGTAAATTAAAGTTTTTACTTTTGCCTGCTTATATATTAATTTTCGAATCGAAGAAGTGGAGTTTGCAAGTCTATAATATTTCTTTATCACAATTTATAACAAGATAAGAAATAAATTACAGCTTTTATGCATCCGTAAATGTAGAAAAACCTCTTTGGAGCTCAATGAACTCCTATGTAGCCTTAAACTTGCAGCTGAGCTTCAATTTTTCTTTGAAGTAGTGTGTAAGTCTTACCATGTGAGAAGTAAACAAGACTTCCTATAATCCAAGTCTCTGTACACTTCTGCATCTTATCCTGCCTCGAGCCTTCAAGAAAAGTGAGCTTACGTCGGAAAAATGGCAAGAAAGATCTTTAAAACGCCAGAAATATAGAACATGCTCTGGTAAAACGAGGGAAAACTTTCAAAGTTTTCCGACATCTTATCCTTCGCGTGCAACGAAGCTTTGGTCCCAGGAACTTCTCGGTTTTCAAAAATGCCGCTATTCCCCCTGGGAACGAAACTGTGTTCAACGGCGGTATTCGATCAACTTAAGTAGTCTCTCTAGTGCATGCCCTGGAAAGACTACAGAGACGGGGAAAGGCTTTTCCTTTTGAGTTCTTGAACATGTAATGATTATATTATGAATAAAAATTCAAATTGATTTTTATCGATAAATGGCATCCGAGGAAACACTAACTACGAAAATAGGAAATTAACTGATAAATAGGTATTTTTGTAATAAGTTTGAAACAATTACAATTATTGTTTAATATATTCTTCATGTGAGCGATTGTTAGGTAACTATCTCGTACATTATCGGTTTAATTCTGTATTCAGTTATTACGTTAGTATCTCGCGTATTCTCAGTTTTCATTTGTATTCCCATCGTTACGTCAGTATCGCGTGTTACGT